CTGTTTTTAAAGGCCAAGTATGAGCAGAAGATCAACACCTGCCACGAGGACACGTCACGTGTACATCTGCTGACCACCTCAACCACCGAAGACATCCCCGCGCAGGACTCAAGCTACTTCCAAAAGGACTGCTGATAAGTAACATTCCTCCCTTACAAGATGGAGCCTTAAGCTCCCTCTCGCTTTTCTGAGATGGCTCTGTATACACTGTAACTTGTACAAAGTGTATTGTCACTAATTGTCTTAATTGTTCCCTGAAACCTGGTACTTTTGGTGTCTTGAGAAGACCCTCATATGTAATGTTACCTGAAAATTTGACTGAACCATGGTATGACGATGTTGATCTTTATGCTTTGGAATTGTTTTCAACAACTTTGTCCATCCTTGTATGTTATGTTTGGGTCTCACTGCATTTGTTAACCTTATTGGACCTCTTACAGCTGGTGCAATAAGTTCGTAGGAAAGTATTGATCAATTTGGAGGCCAAGATTGGTGCATTAGAAGAAGCAGATATTTATATTGGCAATGAAACTTAACGTTTAAAAACCAGATTTGGTACCACTTGCCATAGTAATTACAAATGGATTTGTGTCACTCCTCTTCCTTATAATGACTCGCATATCCCTTGGAGTAATGTTCAGACTCATCTCCAAGGTGTATGGAATGACACATCTACTAGCCTTAGCATTCAGGAATTACATGCTCAGATTTCTGCCATCTCACTCTCGCCTTCAGGCTCTCTCTGCTGGAAGTGTTACTAATCAATTCTTACAATCTCTTTCATCTTTTATTTCTGATAAGACCTCCTACTCATTTTTTTTTTAGGAATAACACTAATTGTTCTCCTTTTTGTATTGTTTTTTGGCCCAGTCATCTTCCGACGTTTGAGCTCCATGATTCAAGTCACTCGCAGAGAACTCCGCACCCTCCAACTTAATAATAAGAGAGGGGGAGATGCTGGGGTCCGTGCAGTAGATGTGGGGAACATGAGGGGGTGAAGAGTGTTCCATTGCAGGCAGGGCCGCGAGGAACTTCCCGCTGATCGGCGGGGTCCATCCAGCGGATGTCTCTACAACCACCTGAATGCAACTCCATCTTCTTTTGCATGGACACTGGACCGCCCTGCGGAAGAATTCTAATCCATCCTGACATTTGCTACTGCGAGGTTAACCTTTTGCTCAGCCTGAACTTGGAGGTCAATGTCTTGCAAATGGGGCCTTTTGTCATTCCTATTATCTTAACTGTCCCCATTGAACCTATGCTAATCAAGGGACCTGTATTTAGGCTTTCATTCTTTCCTTGACCTTTAAGTTCTCCTTTTCTTTGTGATACAAGAATGAGTTGTAGGATAAGAATCCTAGCAGGAACTTCTATTGTTTCTAAGTAAAACTAAAGGCAGAATTATTCTTAGAAATATCCATTTGTTAATGACGTAAAAAGTCTGAGCCAGAATTTGACTGATTTTGTATAAATAAAGCGGACAGCTTTCCTGCATTGTCCATTATGATCATGAAGTCCTAGTGGTCCGTCTCTTTCTTTCCTCTTTGCGCCTCATCCACGCACCCTTCGCGAGTTCCGAACTCAGCTGGAGCTGGACTCCGGCAATGCCACACTGGCAATGTGCATGTTTTCCATATTTCTTTCTAGGTTCCCTAGAGCCAACACAGTAAAGTTGGAAGACTTAGAAGGTAGACAACAAGTAATTGCCAAATAGGCAAATGAAAGAAAAAGTTTAATGGCCAAGTTGTGAGAAACTAGATGTACTGGTATCAAAAAGATAAGTTAAAGTAGGCTCCTACTAGTTTAATCTTTTGTTTTCTGGGCAATCAGTCCAGTCAGAACTCATCCAAATCACATCATTCAGATGGAGCAAAGCAGCACGGAAGCACGTTCCCTGATGTTAAACAGTCTGCTATGGGGTGATTCCTGTTCTCCAATGAGAGACCTGATGAACTGCTTTCCTTTGATAGAGGCTTAACAGAAAATGAAGATAAGTAAAAATCTGACAGTTTAAATCTGGCAAAATAATTTTATTAGGAGTGTAAATTACCTAAAGAAAAATATCACAGACAGGGAAATCAAAATAACGGTAGTTAAGACTGAAGCTGGACATAGACATGTCTATGCATAAGTGTATTTATGTCCCTGCAGATAAGTAATGTAACAAAATACAATGCAAATTGGTTAAGGTGTCCATAAAAATATTCAGAGGAAAAAAGGCTATTTCTAAAGAAAATGAGTCTTTGTATTTTTATCAACTAAAAGAAGTAACACAAGAAAAAAATGACAAACCCTGGTGAGGGAATACTCTTTAGACAGAGAAGAAATTAAAAAGAAAGGTAACAAGAAAGAAAAGATCAGGAGACATGGATGAGCTAAAATATCAACAGTAAAAATGAACAAAAAATGTTTTATAAACCTAGATAGAAAACATTATAAATTAATCAGACTCAAATCATGTAGTTGCCAAAAATCTAAGAGAAATGCTCAATTTTGAAATTGCATACTTAAGAAGTCTTTAAGTCAGAAGGAACAGGAGAAACAATGACCCAAGTTGATGCTAATCACATAAAAGTCATATAATAACTTACTTTATCTCAAGTTTAAAATATGAACTAGGTGAGTACCTGAGTATTTCCTTTAAAAAAGTAACCAAATATCAAAAAATGCCACTGCTTGGATAGGTAGTGAATTAAGGATGAGTTATTTTGGGATACACAAAATAATGGCAAAAAGCAAATTGTAAGACACTTTTCACTTTCACATGCCCTAGGAAAGAAAGAAATTGGAAGGCGCCATTCACATACTCAAGTCAACTGAGTAAGTATGGTTTTTTCCATGTTTTCAGGGGCTTGAAAGTAGAACAAGATAATGCTTGTAAATAGTCATAGTAAAAGAAGTATAGTTAGAATATACAATGAAACATGTATACAGGAGATCCTATGAGGAGTGAAGCTCAGCTCTGCTACCTGTCAACTTTAACATCGAAGCCTCGCCTGCCACTGAGGGATAATGCTGCTATGGGTAACAGAATTGTTGCCTAAAAACTATGGTGAGAAGTTAAATCAAATAGGTAAAGCAAATAGGACCAAAAAAAAAAAAAAAAAAAAGACCTGTTCTCCTCATCTTCCTTTCCCTACACTTATAAAATTTTACATATTTTGAATGTCTTCAGAATTTATAGCACAGTATAATCATCTACCTAAAATAATAAATGCAGGAATTAACATTTACTGAGTACTATGCTGACCCTGGAACTATGCCACATGGTTTAATACGGTGCAGGAGTTTTTGATTGGTTTATCAAATTTACTATTTAAATGAGATATATGAAAATGCTATGATCACCGAGCATACCATAATACAGCAAGGACTGTCCTTCTTCCTGAGTTTAAATCTGCCTGATCTGAAATCATGTAACAGATTTAAGTTTTAGTTTTTCTCCTTCACTAAAATAAACTCCAAGTTGCCTCCTGGTCTTAACAAGCTATGTGTAATTTACTGTTAGCTGGGTTATGATTCTACTTAAATGTAGGATTTCAGGTGCTCTGGAAGAATTCCTTTAAAAAAGAAACTGCTATTTCTCTAAAAAAAAAAAAAAAGATACACAATGTTTTCCTCCATGGTTAAAATAACTATTTTGCTGTAAATAGTACACACATGTTACTAAATATTGACTTAAGACAACACAGACAAAAATACGTAATGTAACACACTGGAAATCTTTAATTATATATCTTACCCTTCAAATGAAACTCAGCAACCGTGCAAAGTAGGAACTTACTGAAATCTTCTAAATTGTGAAATAACACTTATCACAACTTAAACGATTAAAAGCAAAAGCAATCCACCATTATTATGCAGATGACTTGCCTACAATTTGATTAGCTAAACGTGGACATGCTTCAGAGGAGGCAACATAAAAAACAGGGTTGGATTTTTTGAGACCACACCCTTGATCCCGAGGTTACAGTTCCTTAGTTTTACTTTTAATTCATTCAGGGCCATGGAGTGGGGTCAGGGAGGAGGTTGCAGCATTCAGAGTTAGTTACTGGGTGGAAGAACAGGAAAACAAAATCTTCAGGGTGCTTCAGTGATCCGCACATACATAGCGAGAGGGCCTCCAATGCCACGGGATTTCTGAGGGACTGTGCAGGAAACCACACCAATGAGCTCTTTTCTCCTCCGTAACCCCTGAATCCCTTCCAAATTCTCCAGATTTTATTGATGGAACATGGCTTTGATAAGGTGCCTCAAAAGTGTTAAAATCAGCAAGCCATGATTTATCAATTCCTCTGTTTATGCTTCAGAAAGAGTAAAAGTATGGATATAAGAATTTTCAAGAATAGAGATTTAAAACTGACCTGTTTACAAACTGATAATCTATAATATGACAGATGACTAGAGAATACAAATATTAAAATCAGCAATCTGATAGGAACTTCTAAAATTATCAAAAAAATGGAGTATTGTTTTTAGACCACTGACCATAAAGGCAATCCAAAGCACAATTTCCAAAGTATCAAAAGGTTGCCCTTAAAACAGTGCTAGCAAGGAAAGTGTGCTATTCATAAACTGTCCACCTTTGGCTCACCTAGAATATGGTTTAGAAAAAAGTAAATGCCACTGAAAAACATTACCTTTAATGAAAGTTTAAAATAGCTCAACCAATCTGCATAATTGTGGGGAAAATGTTTTCAGCTCTGTGCAGCACTTTGTTTCACAAAAGCAGTTGAGATGTAAAGATTCATGATCAAAAATGGGGATCCACATGAATTTTGGTCCCAGTCCCACCTGATTTCCACTGAGATTAAAAATACCCACTTTCTCCTCACAACAGAGGAAAGAGAGCTCGGTGCAGCCATGATTTGGAGCATACGGGTGGTAGGCTAGGTATCTTCAACACTAAAGCATCCTGAGGTAGGGCAGGTGCAGAAGGAGATGGTCAAAGGGAAGAGGAATAGGCAACATGGTCAGAAAAGGAATAGGCAGAATTTCACCTGCTGTTGTCACGATCAAGACATGGAGAGGTGCGGCTGCAACAGAATAGATACTTTAGCACAGAGAAGGAATGGATAAAGTGAAATATAAAGAATGAAATCAAAAGTGACTCTTTCAAATGAAATATATCATTTACATACCAATACAATATTCATTGAAAAAAAAGATGGAAAATATAATGAGATATAGCTCTATGCAAATGCGGAGAGAATAACAACATTTGGGGTTTTTGTGGCAACTCCCAGGTTAGGAAACTGGGGATGTGATTTAAAAAACACTGGATTTGAATTTGTAGCCATAAACATTGCTTTGGGGGGACACTTAACAAGTCCAACTATCTAAGAAGCTGCAAAACATCAAAGGGAATTGTACTGGACAATGAAGTCTTTGATTTGGTGAGCATAGTTTTGACTCATAAGCTTTTAATTCATACTCTTAATCTTTTAAAAATATGATAATGTCTTTGGGGTTACCACAAAAGAATGCAAACAGAAAAGGTAAGATTTAATGTACAGTTTCAATGGCAAAAAGCAGAGTAGGTAGACTTAATTACCTACTAGTTGCTAGTAACAACACCAAAACACAAGGCAAACCAAGTCTTAGTGTTTTCCTCTTACACTTTGCGAATTGCTGTTCCCCTCACTGATTCTAATATCTAATGCTACATCACAGTTTTGCCTTTCACTTTTTTATCTAGAAGTCTGCCCTTCCTTCAGATCCTGTTAAGTTTTCACATGGTTCACTTGTGTTTTCAAAATCCAATGACACAAAAAAGCGCACATGTTAAATGAATGAGAAATCCAATCTCACCACAATAGTAACATTGCTACTGATTTAAAAAAATTTTTTCTGGGCCCAGTGTGATAGCTTAGCGGCTAGTCTTTGCCTTGCATGCATAGGGACCCCATATGGACACTGGTTCTAATCCTGAGAGTCCCGCTTCCCATCCAGCTCCCTGCTACAGCCTGGGAAAGCAGTCAAGAATGGACCAAAGCCTTGGGATCCTGCACTCATATGGGAGACTCAGAAGCGACTCTGGGCTCCTGGCTTCATATAGACTCAGCTCCAGCTGTTGTGGCCATTGGAAAATGAACCACTGGACGGAAGAGCTTCCTCTCTGTCTCTCTTCCTCTCTGTAAATCTGACTTTGCAATAAAAATAAATAAATCTTAAAAAGAAAAGATTTTCTTCATTTAGAAGAATTTGCCTTCACGTAATCTAAAAAGCCTCCATGGTGTTATAAAAATGCATGAACTACCAAATTAATGGCTATATGTACTTCTATAAATATCTGTGTTGCCCAGTGAGAAATATCCCTTTATTTCAAGTGTTTCATTATTTGATTAAATATATTAAACATATGTTTAGAAAATTTCATTATTTTTTAAAGTAGTTTGAGGTTCAAGGCAAAATTGTCTTCAATATGTCTTTAAGAAAGAACTATTTTAAAAATCATTTTGAAGACTTTAAAGTTAATGTAATATCTCGCAGTATAACATAATTAACATGCACTTGTTCGCATTTGGCTCTTATAAAACACACAAAAAACTTTTAGGACAACATTATTCAAAGTGAGTTTCAAAAGGAACTATTGATAGGAATTGTGCCTTATCTCTGCCAATTCATTGTGCATTTATGAAACGAAGAAGAAACACAAAATTCAACTTCTTGCTCTAGCTTAAAATGGTGTCCTTATAACTGTGAATCTGTTGCTAACATACCTTACCCACCAATTTGGCAACTCTCTACAAAAATGACAAAATTACTATTATGGTTATGTCTTTTGCCAGATACTAGGAAGAATTTTTTAAATCACTGGTTGCATTTCCTTTAGTTAACGGTTTTTGGAGATGTAGGGCAGAGGTAGGACCAAATCACCAATGCTCTTGCTGTGTCTGCTACTCATTTGGAATTCCTTTGCTAAATTTCATACCCACAGATAAATGGCATATGCATAAACAGCCAAATTTACTCTTCACTGCATTAAAAATAGTCCTAATCTCCTTCCATTTTGGATAGATTTTGAAGTGGCTTAATAATTTACCTGATTAATTAAAGAGCAATTCAATTCCCTAGAAAGATTATGAAAACCACTACCAATAAAATTATAAGTCATTGATACATGAAACAGTCTAATGACTGCTATTTACATACATACATCAAGGTCATGATAACTTTTAAATTCCATGGAACATAGAATCCTAACTTTTCCATGGTAGTTAACTATCCTATCAGAGCTGTTTGTATTTGCTCAAGAACAAATACTATGTGATAGATTTCCTGATAAAAATGGCAAGTAAAGAAATTATCACTATAAATGATTTTACATTAGTATTGTCAATTAGAGAATTTATAATATCTTTTTGCTTAACTGATTAACAATTTGTTAAAGCTCTGGGACATGTATATGGGGACTATATCAACATAGTATTAATGACTATAATCAATGGAGTACTTACTCCTTCCAGGTAAAGAGCTAATTACTTAATAGACATTTACTCCCACGCAGTATCAATAATATAACACTTATCTTACAGAGACATAAAATCAAGCTCAGAGATTTTATGTAGATTTTTTTCTATTGTCATACTTATTGAGTGTCAATGTCATATTTCAATTCTGATCCATTTTACTCCGAAGGACACTCTTAACCATCACTTTTTTCATCCACAAAGTCTCATCCAATTCAAATGACAGTCACCAATACATTTCTTAAAAGCATCAGCTAGGCCTGTCTTAACTATTTTCCTTGGCACCTTTCATAGTGCCTGGTACTTTGTAAGATTTCATAAGTGTGTGAAGAATAAATACATTAGTGAGTGGAAGAAATAAAGAACATATGAGAGAACTGGGTACTCACTAATAGATGGGGTATCCTTTGCAGCCAAGTTTTACTTAGATAAAATGTGTCCAACAAATTTTTACCAAGCATCTGGGTTATTGGCTCTTATAAAAAAAAATCAATGTCAGGGCCTCAACAGTTGTGTCTGTCTGACATAATTGTTCTGGAATGAGGACTGGGCAGCAGTACAAAACGACCAGGTGATCATAATATACAGCTAGAATTAAAACTGACAGATTTCTGGGTTAAATGTTTGAAACTGATAGAAACGCTGACTCATTGGAGACTCCAGTGTTAAAGATCCTTAACGTGTGACTGATTTTTAACTACTGGTTGCTGTTAGTTCATTACGGTAATCAGCCATTATTACTTATCTAGCTGTATCTTACTTACTTAACTAGCTGTTATCTAGTTTTTTTTACAATGGTGTGTCTATAGGAATAATTAAAGAGAGTACTTTACTGTCTTGTATTAATTAAATAAAAATCTTAATGATTCTTTTTAGTGAAAATTCTTAATTTGGAAAACTAAAGGAAGATCACACTTCACTCATTGTAAATTAGCTTATTAATACTAATTACATCTTGTGAAAAATAATCTTGTGACTTTTCAGACTCAATATGTACTTTGAATAGTTCACCGTGATTTCCACATTCCTATACATTATCTTTCAACACTTCAGGCCTCTTTCCCTTCCTTCAGTGTTGAAAAATCTGATGACAAAATGCAATGTCATGTTTTTTGAATAATTTATTACTGTGCAGATTTTATTTATGCCATTTTGTATTTAAAACAGATGAGGCTTGATTCATCTTATTCCCCTAAACATCTCTTGCAATTAGGAATAAGTGTTTACTCCATAAGGAAAGGAGTGTCATGATTTTTTAAAATATATATACAACTAATTATATGTTTATAAGTCTTTTTTGTAGAAGTTTAGACTAAGAAATCCAAAGTATATAATAGTGTCTTAAATGCTTTCCTAAAGAAGATTATTTTATAATAGTAAGAAATATTTCACTACTAAAAAAAAAATAGCTCTGAGCATTATGTGTAAGAAATTTGGTATAAAATTTAAGCATATCATATTTCATTAGGGAAAATATGAGTAGGGATGTTTTTAAACAATAATCATAAGAAAAATAGGGAGACTTTATAATTATGACATTATTATATTATCTGAAGCTACTAAAATGTAAGGAGATAACTGATTAGAAATTGTTATAATTTGAAACACAATAAGCAATTTATATTCCACATTACTGAATTCTCATACTTCACATGCCCCGTACGACCTACAGAAGGCCACTGAGGGCCCGACTAGCTGCATTTAACTCTGTCTTTTCATTTTCAGCTCCGCTGCCAAGAGCACAGGAACTCTTCCACACATTTGTGTGATTCAGTGTACTCTAAACATTATGTTTGATACATGAACACATGAGAAAGCCATTTATTCTGAAGAACCAATTGTAGTCAACAGAAATGTTCTAGAATGCCTCAAGATACAGCCCTTTCCTTTTGAGATGTCTTAAAGACAACACGTGAATAGTAAGGAGGCCGCCAGGACATTCTGGTTAGTGAGCAAGCTTCTTGACGCAATTTTACTAGTTATTTTGAAACAATAGCTAGTCTTGGGCACTGAATTTGATTCTTTTTGCTAGCTTATTTGTGTAGATAGAGTCCATGTTGGATAAAGCAATGTTATTTACAAGTTTAAACAAAGGTCCCCTCCAGTGAAAGCCATCAGCTCAAGCTGCTGGACAAAGCTGTTATTTGCACTCCCATCTCGTTTTACCTCTTGATCTCGATACATAATATTGATTTACTCACCCTGAATGAATAGGGCTGGAAGAAAGAGCCACGTTGTCTAGGTTCTCAGTGCCCCAGCTTAGACGATAAGAATTCCTTTCTGCCTCCTTGGCTAGAGTTGACACCTGCATACAAAGAACGCTGGATTTAATAAAAAATACTTTGCTTCAATTACAATCAAATATGATGAAATCTCAAGCATGACCTCATAAGAAGATACTATGAACTAGAATAACTTTCCTTAAAAAACATAACATCAATGCACTTAAAATGGATCTTATGCTGTCTTCCATTTAAAATTATACAAGTGACATGTCACATTAGTGTAACTGTCTTTGACAAGAGTGGAGTCCATCTCTTTCCTTATATACAACCCACCAAAGATGATAAAATCAAATCTAAAGTTAAAATATCCCAGAACACATTTTAAATCTTTTCTTGTAGACAACAATTTTCAATATTGAAAATAAGTTTTAACCCATACCGTTCAGCTTCAACCCATTTGATTTTAAAAACAGAAAATATATTTCAACCCAAATCTTAAATATATTCTGTCTCTCACCCTTTTCTTTAATAGCAAATGGGTTTGTAAAACATCTGTATGCCAAACCTTTACAGAACTTATTAAAACTGAAGAAACAGGGAGTATATTATTTCAGAAAAATCACACTCCTTAAAAAGGCTAATGAACAATTTCTATGTTTTAAGAAATTATCGAATCTCTGCTTCCAGCTTGTCAAGCTAATTCACAAAGATTTTGTTGTTGTTGTTGTTTAGATTGGAAACTCCATCGGGACCTTTGTAGTGTTACATAACGTTTAAAATCCCTCCAGAAAGCAAAGACAGGAAGGCAAAAATGTACGTACCTGGTGACTTGGAATCACAACTGTGTCATCAATCATGGCACTGTCCCTCAGGTAGGAGGCATGGCTCAGAGTGTGAGACCTGTCGGAACTGAAGGACCGAAGGCTGGTAGGTGGGCAGGCGGCCATGGTCATATACCAACAGCAGTTGGAGGTTTGGGAGGATGAAAGGATGAGCCGAGCAGGAGAGTGAAAAAAGCGTGCTATTAGCCAACAGTGCAACTTCCAGGGGGCCACGCGTGTCTGTGTTGCCTTACCTCTCTCTCCAGCCACCAAACTAACGCATCCTTTGACCGGTTTCTGACACTCAATGACAAAGGCACAAGGGAATCCAAAAGTTAAAATTTGATACTCCTAATCTGATTCATTTTCTTCCCAGAAATGTTTGAAAGCAGCAATGGTAGGTTCTTTACTGCCAGCACAAGAAATTCACACAGAAAATAATTCCAGCATGGACTGCTTTAATCTATGCTAAGTGCTCATCTCCCTGCAAGTCAGAAAGCAGCTTGGAGGCAGAGTGGACAGCCCTCCGGGAGCAGCACAGAATCAAAGTGCAGGTTTCATTTTCACTCATTCTTTTCCACTCTCTTCAGGCCTCTCTCTGTCTCCTCCTCTCCTAGGCTGTGAATGACTGAGAGTTGGCGCTTTCCCCTGGAAGGTACAGAGTGAAATGAACTAGGGCCAGATGCCTGCTTCCTGTGGAAGTACAGTTCCTCTGTTTGTCTCTGTTGACTCCAGTAGGGCTATTCTTCCAGTGGACAGCAATATCCCTTTGCATGTCCGGTGTGTGTTGAGTGAAGCACCAAAAGAGTGTTGGTTGCTGCGGTGATGAGATGCAAGAGCACAAGGATCCGTTCCCAAGCACCAGCCCAGCAGCACACAGACACACGTGCCAGCACCAAGACAAGCTGCCAGCGGACACTGACCAAAACAGAGGTTTGGTACAAAATGAGATTTAAGCCTTAGAATCAGTTTTTACATTTTGGATAAATTGGAGCTCTGAATGATATACTCAAATGTGATGAGTAAAATTCACTTAGAGGCAACTTCGTTTCATTTTTGTGCAAATGACATCAATATCTTAGATAATGTATTTCATATATGTATGCTTTATACATATTATTCCATGAATTAAAGTTTACGTTCAGAAAGCCCAAAGCCCAAAAGCAAAGAAAAAGGTTTGCAAGCTCTGACCATATTTAAGGAGATAAAATTTCATTTACTTTTATCCATTAGGTATTTGGCCAGTGAAGCACCATAGAATTATGGACTAAGTATAGAGTCAGCATATTTTTCGTAGAATAATTACCTGCATTTCATGAATATTTGTGATTTTTGTAAGCCACACCTCATCTTTCTGAGTTGGCAGAATAGCTAATCTCAATTGTTTTTGAGAAAATCATCCCTTTGGAAATGAGTCAGAAATCCACCAGAAGAAATAGCTCTCACGGCTTAGAAGGTGAGTAACATGACTTAATGCAGTTATTAGTCTGACTCTGTGTTTCTACTTAATCATATGTTTTTAATGAATGTAGGTATAATTTGGGAGCTAGTTACTTTTTATCTAGGCCTTGGGAAAGATTGAGGCTCCAGACACAGCCAAGACAGGGGGAAGCTGAATGTTTTAATAAGTTCTGCTACAGGGCAGTGAGCCCTAGCAGCTTATATCATGACCAGTTATAAAGTTGTGTGGTTGATTCTTAATGGTGTACTTTAGACGCATACTGCAGGCTGCTTTGATGAATCTTGACTTGACCTTGCATTTGAAACTGAGATTGAACCTAAATTACTAGGTCTCAGAATTGACATTTGGCTTAGTGGTTTAGATGTGAAGTTAACATATCTATTATATGTTAGAATGAGAGTCCAATTAACAGTTGTGGCTCTCAAACACAGCTTCCTACCTGGGAATGGCCCAAGGAAGTAATGTTAATGCTTGAGTTACTTTATTTCTGTCCCTCATTGGCAAGACAAACACTGTGCTTCCAGCTCCCAGTTTTACCCTGGACCTGCCTCAGCCATTAAGGATGTTTGGGGAATGAATCAGAGGATGGGAGTTCTCTTGGTCTATCTGCCTCTCAAATAAACAAGTATTTAATAGTTATCAAGATTAGAAATTTAGCTTGAATGGGGACAAACTGAAGGGTATACAAAACCTCAAATGAAACACAGTGATACTAATGTCTCCACTTTAAAAGAGGTTCTCTGTTGTCAGTTGCTTCAGTCCAGGACTGACAATGATCAGGTGGGCGAGTCTGAGTTTTAAGAATGTGCTGTTGATGAGCGCATTGCTGAAATCAGAACACTAGCAATAAAGCCAGATTTCTCTTTCTTTTTTTATCTCTATTTACCTGACACTTGGGTCTGCCTCTCAATTGGTTTTAAACTGGGAGGGGCAGAGATGTGCTGCTGTTACACTTTTTTATCTTTCCCAAAACCCCAAACAGGAATGAAGCAGTGGGAACAGAAAGGAAAAAAAAAAAAAGGATAAAATGACTCACAGGCATGGGAATGAGAAGAGAGTGGTTGGGAAAAGATGAGAATGAGGAATGCTGGAGAGAAAGAGGTATGGACAAAAGAATGTCAGAACTCTACATCTAAGTGCATCATTGTTCAGATTCTATTCTAGTTCACTGGGTGAACTGCCTTCTGAATTATGAACGTCAAGTTAAACAATTGTTAAGAATTACAGGTGTGGGGCCCGGCGCGGTGGCGCAAGTGGTTAAAGGTCCTCGCCTTGCACGCCCGGGATCCCATATGGGCGCCGGTTCTAATCCCGGCAGCCCCGCTTCCCTTCCAGCTCCCTGCTTGTGGCCTGGGAAAGCAGTCGAGGACAGCCCAAGGCTTTGGGAACCTGCACCCGCGTGGGAGACCCGGAAGAGGCTCCTGGCTTCGGATCGGCATGGTATCGGCCCGTTGCGCTCACTTGGGGAGTGAATCATTGGACGGAAGATCTTCCTCTCTGTCTCTCCTCTCTGTATATCCGCCTTTCCAATGAAAAAATAATAAAAATAAATCTTTAAAAAAAAAAAGAATTACAGGTGTGTATTTTTACAGTTTCTAATTTTTTGGTATGTTAAATAATATAGCTAGAACAGAATAATAGAGACTTGCATATCGAGTTGTGAAGATGTGGTGTAGTGTACATCTCTGCTTCCAAATTGAAGGTCTGTTGGATATATCTTGACAACAGGATGCTGACCTCTCTGCCATTGTCTGTACCACAACGTCAGGACACACTTGAATAACAGAATGATGGACTTATGATTGCTTATGAAGAACCATGCTACTGTAATAACATGGGGAAAATGTGTTGGGGAGATGGAATTCAGGGACGGGTAAGGGAAATCCCACAGCCTATGGAATTGTATCATAAAATTAAAAATAAAATAGAAGGGAAAAAATAAAAGCAGAGAATTCATTTATCTGAAGAAAGATTAACCAGCACAAAGGTTTGGAAGAATTCAAACCATTGGATCAGATACATTTTGTCCTGATTTTAATCATCGCATCTATATTTATATACTAGGCAATAGAGTCAACATCTTTCTCATTGGGAGAAGTGTTGATGCTCAGTTAATATATTTATAAAAACATATTCACAAAACATACAGTTTTTACTTGCAGAGCAGCTTGGGAACAGTCTGCTGCACGTGTCAGATTTTCTCTATTCTTAATTTATGTGTTTCATCCTATGAAAAAACAGTTTTTTTACACATGCCAATGTAAGCATGTAATTTCATTGAAAAGTGTAACAACTACTATCCTACTAAATGGTAATATGTATTTTTTTGGAATATGTATTGGACATTCAATTAGTGAAGTTAAAAGCCCTGTTGAAGAAATGAATATTCAAAAATATCATTGTGTTTGTCTTAAAAAAATGGAGCTTTTGTGGGCCCAGCATGGTAACCTAGTGGGTAAAGTCCTTGCCTTGCATGCACCAGGATCAAATATGGTCCCCAGTTCATATCCTAGTTGCTCCACTTCCCTTCCAACGCCCTGCCTGTGGCCTGGGAAAGCAGTAGAGGATGGCCCAAAACCTTGAGACCTTGCACCTGCATGGGAATCTGGGAAGAAGCTCTTGGCTCCTGGCTGCAGATCAGCTCAGCTCTGGCAACTGTGGCTATTTGGGGAGTGAACCAACACATGGAGGATCTGTCTTTGTTTCTCCTCTCTGTAAACCTGCCTTTCTAATGAAAATAAGCAAAATTTTTTAATGGAGCCTTTGTGACTCATTGATATTTAGTGTCCTATGACGACTTTGAACACAGTGTTTAACCTGTGAATAACAGCAAAGTTATCGTATAATTTTTTTTTTTTTTTTCCGAAGTCTCCAACCACACAGAAGCTAATTGGGTTTGTTCCGAGAAAGGCATCATAATTTTATTGGCCACCAGGTGGCGCTGTGGCAACTAAAATGAAATCTGGGTCATGTCATTGGTTTTTACTCATCATAGTAGTATGTTTAACTCTTCCAGCACTAGTAGTTATTCAATTTAACATGTAAAAACTTTGTGATAAATCCATAATTCTAGAATATAAGCAGCCCCGCCAATGTGCACGCACACACACACACACGTGAGCAGTGAGCAGGAAAATGTGGATGTATCCAGGGAGGTTATATTTCCATGCTGTATAATACCTACCTGGGCATGGTACTATTGAAAGCATACCAAATAAAGAAATAATGACAAGTAAACATGGTTACTGGAGAAATGTAAACTTATTTGTCTAAGCAAAATGAAAAATTTTAAAACTATAAATAAAAAATGAAGATGAGATGTTGTGTGTAATTCCATTTTGGAAATGGTGAACTTGTCTGGTGCTCTAGAAATGAATGTAGGCCTAGAGAACAGAGTGCATCTTATTTGGTTCATGTCCCAATATTTACCTGCTGATATAACTTCAATTTAAGTAGAAGAATTACCGCTACCCCTAGCCTCTGCTTTACAGAAAACGTTATTCTAAATTCTTTCTCTACATAATTGCTTTGAAAGAAAACTGGTCCAATCAAGCATTTATGCATAATAAAAGAGACCATGCTAGAAATGACAGGAAAGTGACTGTCATACACTGTAATTAATTCATAAAAAGCCATACACATTTCATTTCATTAGAAGTTGAAATCTTAAGAATTTGGAAATATGAAGTTCAAATCTAATAATATGAAGTCCCAGAGCCTCAATCTTGTATTCTGATCTAGGGTCACTCTTTCTAAATCATTGTAGCCAAAGAATCAATTGCCTCCCATGCCTTTTATTCACTCTATGAAGTGCATCACCAAGTCTGGCTAATTTAACCCTCTACAGTTCTCCAAGTTTTCATGTCTGGAGTTAGAATCCTACCCTCTCATAATGGCAGCTAATTGCACCACAGCAATCTCTCGGGTGGTCACAGCATTCAGGATCAGTCCAGGGCAACTCTTCTCTAAACGCATCTTCTACCTTGCAGGCAGCAGGTCATTTCAAATGCAAATATGATCTCCCCTTTCCTCCTGCCCCAAGCGCTCAGTCTATTCTGTGTCTCTCATACAACATACGCCTTCACCGATGATCTTCCTCTCCACCATAACTCATCACTTGGGCTCAGTTTGGGCTCCAGAAAACCTGAGCATCAGCAGTGCAAGGGCACAATGTGCCTCCCACCAGTTCAGTGCCTCTCCCATACCACGTGGCTATGAATTCACCAAACACATCTTAGTCATGTTGGTTTTTCTAGAAGTATCACAAAGCCCGGTGCTTGTTATTCCCACAATCATTAAGAACAGTAACAAAAGGGGCATTGATGCTTAAAGAAAACTTGTCTTTGATAATTATCCATTCAGGATTGATTACTCCTTAGGTTTATATGCTCTAAATATGATGGTTGTTCAGTAAAGAGCTTTCAACCAAGTGAATTGTAACTATATACCTGTGATCGCTAATTAGTGAAATATATTACCTTACATGAATAACCATATGCTTGATCTAAATTAGCAGTCACAATTTTGATGAGGTACCACAGAATGTTCTTTTTCAGCTTCCCTCAAAATTAACAAGCAGCTTTTGTATTTCTTGGTAATTAAAAAAAAATGACATTGAATATGTTCAAGAAATCTCTATGAACTTTGCTGTAAAAACTCCCCCAGATTTTGCCCAGATTGTTTCCTCGCTCCAGGCTTGGCAGGAACCTGTGCTGCTTCAGTCTGTGAAGCAACGAGCTCCAGGCACAGCTCTCTGCTCAATCAGCAAGAGTGCCTGCTGGGCACCATTACACTTTTAAGTTACTAAAGAAGGAAGGGACAGATTCAAAATGCTGTATGTTAAAGCAGAAACCTCTTATTTGTCAAGGCTCTGGTTCCTGCACGTTGTCTGATCATGCTATGCTGTTTCATCTTTCTGGACTTCAGTTTCCTGTTCTTTTAAGTGGGCATGTTTGGCACTTGCTAGAGCAGGAAGTAAGATAACACAGTATCTACGAAATGGAGGGAGGCATCTGGAAAAGGCTAAATGACATTATGTTTTTAGTATGCCCCAGTTGGACTGCACTCACTGGTAGTCAACATGAGGTTTGAAGGGGTGTGACAGTACCTGTCAGACCGTCCTCCCTCCAGACTGTACCGCAGGTAGTTCATGCCGTCCAGGAACTGACTGCTGGGCAGCGAGTCATCACCCAGCTCCTTCAAGTCCTCAGGCCTGAGGTACTCTCCCCCGTCGCCTGTCATTGTGTCATCACCTTGAAGCAATCAGAGGACGTGTGACTGAGAGCATGGCATGTATCAGCAGACCGGCAGTGACATCAGCCAGGCCACAGACTAGAGCACTCAGCACTTGCAAGCAAGGATAAAGCCTACGACACACCACGTGATTCCTTCTCATATTTGCTGATGGAGAAGAAATAACTGCCTGGACTGTAATTCTTCTACCATCTACCAATTTTCTTTGTTCAGTGGTTCTTATCATAATGGATGGTTTATAGCTGATATCACCAATTCAACAATTAGCCAACATGTAGTTCACTACAAGCAGTCACAATGCTTAAACATTCTCTTACATCCATTCTTTGTCTTTCTCTCACTCTATGCCCTCTAGTAACGCATCCGTAAGAATCTGATGAATTTGGGCTTTCCAAACTGGCACCAAAATCCTCCTCCTATTCCTAATAAAAACCCTGTTCCTGGGTCCATTTGTTTTAACATTTTTTCATCTTGCTTCTTCTAACTTGCCAGGCTCTTGGCAGCCAAGATGCTCACAGGGCACACATGTGACTCAAAGCAATTCTCTGTATGGGAAAGTTAACCTCACAATACTCAAATGTACTGTTTGCCTAAAAACTTCTCAGTGTGATGACACAGTGGGATATTCCTCTGCCCGCAGTGCTGGGATTCCATATGGGCACCAGATTGCATCCTGGCTGCTCCGCTTCTGAACCAGTTTCCTGTTAATGACCTGGGAAAGCAGTGGAGGATGGCTCAAGTGCTTGTGCCTGGATCCATGGGAGAGCTGGAAGAAGCTACTGGCTCCCTGCTGCAGACCAGCCCAGCTCTGCCCGTAGCAGTCTTTAAGAGAGTGAACCAGCGGGTGGAAGGTTCCCTCTCTTTTTCTCTCTTTCCCACTGTTTCTCCTTTTCTCCCCTCCTCTCTCCCTCTCTTGGCAATTCTGACTCAGTACGTGTTTTTCTTCAAAAGAAATTATTCAACTGGGATTTCCTTCTGGGAAAACAATATTACTAGTTTTTGAGTATTCCTAAAAATACAGCACCTCACTTCTTAGCACAAGAAGTGTCCCCTTGTTTCTTGAGTTAAAAATCTGCACTAGCATTTAGTGCGAGCACATGGCTATGAGGTACAATGTGACATTTCCATGTAAGTGTATAATGTCTAAGGACCAGACCAGGGACACCTGTCACCTTGGAAGTTTATCATTTTTTCATGGTGAGAGCATCCAAATTACAAATGATTTTGAAGTAATTGTTGCTAACACTGAATTCCTGTTAAAAGTGAATGAACTTTTGTTAACCCTAGGTACCTTGCTTTGTTACAGAATATTCAACAGGCACCTACAAAATTGTGCCCTGTACCAGCCAATCCTTTGATCCCTATCTTACCACCCCAGAACCGGCCTAGGCTTTGTAAGCCAGTATTCTATCCTACGTTTCTAGCAGATCTACTTTTTAGCCTCTAATTTTAAGCGACAATATGAAGCATTTTATTTCTATACCTAACTTAATTCACCTATATCACATTCTCCAGTTCTAACCATGTGACTATAAATAACAGAATCTCATTTTTTATGGATGAATAATATTCCCATCAGAAGATACTCTTACGTATTAGCCAGTACTCTTCCTAAATTAAAATTTTGCTATCATTAATAATTTTAACATAACAGTTTAATAAAAACTATTGGTATGTTATAATTAGATCTCATTTTATGTAACAGGCAAGTCTAAGAAGCTGTTTCATGCAAGCAGAATTTTTATATAACCTAAAATAAATGGTTTAGATGATTAAGTAATGGGATTTCAAATAATTATTTTGTGAATAAAGAGCTACTTTTAAGAGAAACTTTTAATTAATTACTATATTACTTGATTCATGCATTTTGATTTTCATATGATTATTTAAAATGGTATCACATTTATTGTAGAAACTTCACGTTAGATTATTTATTCATTATTCTCAAACTGTCAAATGTACCTCAAATGATTTAAAGATCTGTTCTTTTCTCTGTTCTTACCTTCCTTTAAAATCACATTGTTAATTTAATGTGTTTACTACATTTTCATCCAAGAAAGATATGAACAGCATTTATTTCAACCAGTTTTATGATAACTGAATTAATAACTAATATCTTATTTTCTAATACGATTATTCTATTTCAGCAACAAAATAAGAATTAGTTTTCATCTAAATTTATATTCAAAGAAAAAGTGTAAGTTATGGAAAATATTTATAAAATGTTCATCACATAAGGCAATTACATTATTAGGGCTCAGTTGTGAAATCATTAACAGTACAAGCAACTCACAACTTTAGTTAAATTTTAGTTAGTAAAATCCACACATAAGGGTAACATGCGCCACTCTGCCAATACCTCCTGTTAATCTAAATGAAACAAGCCAGCATTCAACACACAGATTTAAATACACAGCAAGGGGCATCTGTCCAGTTAAGAAAAGTAAAAAGAAAGCTTCCATTCCAACACTTTTCTTCTAAGGTACCTGAGTCACTAAGTGCTTCCCCATCGATAAAGTTGTCACCAAACTGTTTTAAAGCTGCTCAACATACAAGTAAAGACGAGAAAGATGGCCCCACAAGACAAAAAAAAATGATGGGCATATATGAATGAAAAAGAAAATTAATTGGCAAGAATGAAGATGAGATACAAAATTACAATATTTAGAACTGCTGACTTTGAAAATTCCTTTTCATTTACTCATGATATTGATCATAAATATTTGTCCATTCTTGTCATAAATTCATGTGTAAGCAGAGATTAATTCAATGTTCTTACCAAGAGTTAATTTTGTGTATCCATTCCATGTAAGTGCATCTCAAAGCAAAGGTTTACCTTATGATTTTATCTTTAGAAACTAAAAGAAATATCTATAATTTTTTCCATAACAGACATTAGTATAGGGCCTAGTACCATTCTTTTGGTAACAATTTTTCAAATATTTTTCAGTGTGCATGTCTATGGTAATATCTCAGTAATGCACATCTGACCAACAGATGCCTTATTGAAAGTATATTGAGTATCTTACACGCTGCTTTCACAATTACTTCTCAGATTTTTAACAACAGTGGAATACTGTAGAGAAATTCAGACTGAACAAACTAGACTCAGCCACTTGCAGCCAAGCCAGAAACCCTACTGGCTATCTCTCTAGCTCAGGCCACCACCTTGACCCTGGGCAGTCACAAAAGTTGCTCCTTTCAGAAAAACAAGCTTCTTAAGACTTTGAAACATACTGCCCTAGATAATTTTTTTTATCAACTCTAAAACTCTGGGGAACATTTTTTTCTGGCTTAAGCAATTACATTCTTATGTGGAATTTATACTACTTATATGGGCTATTTTTTAACCTTTTCTTCTGTTATTAAAATATAATTTGTTAAGTTATTTAGAAAGCAGAGGTTTGGTAATACACCATTGATGCCATTGATGTACAATTTAAGTCTTCAAAGTATATGACTAAAATATATTTTACCACAAATAAGCAACACAATGATTTTATTATCAAATAGCTACTTCAGCACAAACTAGTCTCAAGTTTCCTCTGTCTTTATAGCCGTGCTATTTAACAGATACTAAAGATATCCAGAAAATAGACTGATCAGAATGCCTCTCACCACTAACCAGTGAAAGTAAATGTATCGAACTGCAGAGAAAGAAGTGACTTACTGGTGATGCTGTCAACCACTGTGTCATTCCAGTCCCTCAAAAACAGCATGGCTAGGTGCTTGCAAATCATGGATACTGAGTGAAAGACTTACCCTCTTCATCAGACACATCAAGAACCTCAGTCATCGTCTCAGGAACATTCAGCTTGTGTTTTTCTGTGATAGTCTAGAAAGGAAAAAAATCATTAATGTTGCTTAATTAAAAAGAAGACCAAACAGAAGACAGAAAGACTTGGAGAGGTGGCCATCTCCATAGCCTCAGGAGGCCATTGGGTGTGAGACATCCCATCTAGTCTGCACATATATACTGGAAAGTTGTTCTTTTTCTCGGAAGACAGATGACCATTTAGTCCAGTGAAGTGCCAGAGAAGGTTCTTCTTTTTTGCATTCCCATCTGAAAACTTAGCTTTTTAGCAATAGCATTAACAATCAGTCATACTGAGAAGGCAGACTGTTTCTAGGGTTTTCCTAAAATGAACTGAGTGATGTTTCCAGAAGAAAAACAATTTAAAGGGGAAATAAGCATATGCAATTTATTAAAAGTGAAGCCCATTGGAAAAGAAGCTGTAAACAACGTGAACCACATAAATTATGTGGGCAGAAAATGTGACATGTCTCTTCTGGAGTGAGTGGATGGAGAACAAACAAAGCAGTCATCTTTTCAAGTGCCTCAGCAGCAACAATTCTGGGTTATCAGTCTTCCCTGAGAGTGCCCCACTGTTGTCAGATCACTGTCTGCTGTGACTTTCCCATGCCATAAGGTTAAGAGACTACGGTCTGGAGTCTGTGCATGGGTGCAAATTCTAACTACATCACTTACTACATAGGAGGGCTTAGCAAGCTCCCTATCATGTCTCAATTTCCTCATCTGTAAAAAAGGAGTAAGAATGGTATCATACAAAACTGTTACAAAGATTGAAAGAAGTAATACATGTGAATTATAAGAATAGAGGTGGCATATGTTCATACTCAATAAATACTAGATATTTTATTATTTCTGAATTTCAGTATTAAAATTTATCTTGAAACTGAAAGACCGGGGCTGGTGTGGTAAATCAGTAGGTTAAGATGCTGCCAGCATCTCACCTGAGTGCTAGTTTAGAGTGTTGGCAGCTACATTTTCAGTGGAGCTCCATGCTAACATGTCTGGAAAAGCAACAGATGGCCCAACTCTTTAGGTCCCTGCTGCCCATGTGGTTGACCCACATGGAGATTCTGGCTGCTGGCTATCGCTAGGCCCAGCCCCAGCCTGTTGTGCCCATTTGGGAAGTGAACCAGCAGATAGCTCACCCTCTGTATCTTTTTTGTTTCCCACCCATCTCTTCACCCTCCTGTGTAACTCTGCCTTTCAAATATTTATTTTTAAAGACCTCTGATTTCTTGAGTCAGTTGTGATCTCAAGAGACATTTTGAGAACTAGACACTGCTTAGAAACGAGGGAAACAACGGTGACTTCACCGTTAGCAATAAGGTAGCAATAAGGCTGTGCACGATCTCATTTACCTGTGGAATGTGAAACGGCTGAACTCTTGGGATGAGAGTGCAGGACAGTGTTATAGGAACTGGATGAATAGTGGGTGTGATTTGGAAGATATTAGTCAAAAGATCAGACATTCAGTTAGGCAAGAGATCAACTGTATATCATGGAAAACTAGTTAATAAGTAACATATTGTATACATAATGGTAATTGTTCTAAGCAGGTGCCCAATATTTTTACCACAAAAAGTTTGAGTATGAAATAACAGAAATAATGTTAATTAGCTTGTTTACTCACTCCACAATGCAAAAAAATACCAAAATATAATTTTGTGTATCATAAATATGCACAAATTTTGTTTCTCTATTGAGCAAATAAGATTCATGTAAAAAATGAAATTAAAATCAATACTCTCTTGATATTAAATATTCTTGTGTCTCATTTCCTCATTGAAGGAGGAGTAAATGCATCAATAACACTGTTATGGGAAGCTCACAAAAACGAATCCCTTGTAACAAAGTTTAATTTTTCTATTAGATCTACCATTACACGTTATATAGATTGCTTAAGCTTTGTTACATAGGCATAGTCATTTTGAATGGCTACAATGACCCTATCAACAATTCTTCTTTTCAAAAGCAATATCTATCTACAATAAAATGCAACTGGTTAATTGAGTTCCACTGAGTCATGACGAATGTATGACTTAAGAGAGAGATTAAGTCATAGTGTAACAACATATAAATCAGTAAGTTGTTCTTCATGAGACAAAGAAAGAGAACAGAGAAGACAGATCTCCAATCCACTGATTTCATTCTCCAGATGGCCACAATGGCCAGAGCTGAGCCAAGCTGATGCCTACAGCCAGGAGCTTCATCTAGTTTTCTCATGTGGGTGGCAGAGACCCAAGCAAATTGGGCCACTAGCTTGTCCCAGCCCATTAGCAGGGAGCTGCGTTTGAAGCGGAGCAGCTGGGACACGGACGAGAGCCCATTGGCCAGCACTATAGGCTATAGGCCAAAACTTGGCCTGTCCTCTATGTTAAATACAGTATATACCTGCACATGATATGGTAGTTAATACTTAGAAGGCCATCAACAGGTACTTATTGAATGGATGACAGATAAGTTTTTCTTCTCATGATTAATGTCATAACAAATACTACATATTCTCTTTCTAAACAAAATGTTCTTTGAACATTTGGTTATCAAAGCACCAGTATGTTATCTGATAAACAGCATGATGTTTATATCAATTTCAATAAAATTGCAAGTCCATGTGAATAGTACACAGAATATTAGCAATCACAGACATCTCCTTCTGTCATAGAACCTAATGTTAAGGCCAGGATAACAAGTCAACTTAAGAGTTAAAATACACTGTAAATGATACACAAGCTTAATGAGATATAATTAAATCAGAAAATAAGGCAAAGTAAGTAGGATGAGTGGATGGAAACAATTAATAATGAGTTTTTGGCCTTCATGATATAGGGAACCGAAGACTATGAAGCACAAGTCCTTAATATACTGTTTTATAAATAGTGAAGAGTTTCTGGTTTATGACCTAAAAGAGAAAATGTAGGTTCAACTGATCTTCAGTTGGCCAATTCTTTTGATCAATCAATCCCTCACACCACATATCCCCAGCAATGCACAGTGGCAACTTGCACTGCTTCATCTGTCATATCCCATCCAAATTTTTAGACTTATTTATATACATCTTAATACAACTTCTGTGATTAAATATTAACATTACCAATATTTTCTTCTATAAAAACTAAGGTAAATGCTTTGCAAAGTCTCAAGAAAGATGGATCACCAAAAATAATTACTAGTCAACTAAAAGCAATCAAGAGAATTATAGCAAATTGGAAAAAAAAAGTGACAAAAGTTCGAAAAGGTTCTGCATTCAGTGGAATGTCTCTGTAAGGAAGTACACAGGATTTATAAATATTATGTAAATATGGATTTTAGAGGATTTAAAGATGCATATGATAATATAATATATACTGTTGATGTTGTTTGTGCAAGAAGGGACAATTCATCCCTTTAATAATAAAAGAAAACCTTCTGCAGAATTTTCGCTTTCTCCTGTAATTTGGGTTCATTAATTATGTTATATCTCGATATGAATATGGACAGTTACAATCTACCAACAGGTATCTGCTTTCTCTTGTTTAAAAAACAGAAAAAAAATCAAAACAGGGCTATAGAAAGTCAGCAAATGGTAGATTTGAGATATCTGGGAGGTTAAGTGGACAGTTTGAGAATATGGCATCTCCTTTGGCATGATTAATAGTGATATTTGATGGACATTCTTGCAGTTTAAGATGACACCTCTAAAGATAAAATTCTCTCCTAATGAAAAAAAATACAATAAATAACAGGCCCAGCACAATAGTTTGGTGGTTAAAGCCCTCACCTTGCATGTGCTGGGATCCTATATGGGTGCCAGTTCATGCCCAGGCTGCTCCACCTTTCATTCAGCTCCCTGCTTGTGGCCTGAGAAAGCAGTCGAGGATGGCCTAAAACCTTAGGACTCTGCACCCACATGGTCCTGAGAAGCAGTTCCTGGCTCCTGGTTTCAGATCAGCTCAGTTCCTGCTGTTGCAGCCACTTGGGGAGTAAATTAGTGGGCAGAATATCTTTCTTTCTGTTTCTCCTTCTTTCTGTAAATCTAACTTTCCATTAAGAATTAATAAACATTTTTTAAAAATGAGGTGGGACTCCCATGATGGCATAATGATAGTTTTGTTAGAAGAGACACAGATTTTCATGCCTACTCCTCTTGCCATGCAATGTATTGCCACCCCCAGGGACCTCTGTCACCAGATGCTGGGTCATTGTGCGTGCGTGACCTGAGACTGTGAATCTCCAAAACCATGAACCTAAAAAAACCCACTTCCTCTATTTAAAAAAATAATAAAAAAGATTATGGATCTTCCTCTAAGTGCATCAAATAACTTTATATGTATTTCATGGACTGTCATTTTATGATTTCCACTTTGAGTTAAAACATCAAGTAAATTATGATTTAAAACTTTCACATTATCTGTTAAAAAATTCCCTGGTTGCTTCAATGATAAATATGTATCATTTATACAACATATGCATTTTATATTAGTAATTTATATTGGACATATAATTGATTTTATGCAACATAAAATACAATTACTTTAAGGTCATATACACAATAAAAGTAATTGATGATAGCTGATCAGTAAGTGGAGGGTGAGTCATGGCTCACAGTTTCTCCCAGAGTTGTCCGCTGGCTTCTCCTGCCAGAAATGTGTCCCTCCAGCTCTGATGTCTGTCCTGGCAAACATTTGGGGATTGTAACCCCAAGAGAAGGCTCAGCTGTCTCATAGCCCCTGCTGTGTGTTTCGCAAAGTAAAGCTGTGGATGCAAAGATTAAGGAAACGGAACACGATTTCAAAACATCTCAGAAAATTCTGCAGGACAAACTTTTCCCTTGACAAACCACCACCCTCCTGTGCTCCCCACACAATGACTCGATTCATATTTTGGGGCAGAAAGAACCATGTAAGGAGGAAAAGAAAAGGAAATTTGCTTGGATCAAAGAAGTTTGCATGGTTGCTCAGATGTTACAGAGTAGGAATACAATGAATGCAAAATTGTGTTGCTGTATTTCAACTGTCATAGCTCAATGACAGCAACAATATATTCAGTCTTATTAATTTCACTGTCCAATTGTCTTTCTTGTTATTTGCTGCCATCAGTTAATAGCTCTGAATTGCGTCTAGTCAATCTGTAGATTTTTAGAAAGTGATTTTGAATATGTCAGAAAAGATCACTAATTATGCTGGGTTTTTTTTTTTGGTTGTTGCTAAACATTAGATTAAAAGAGGTTCTTTCACAAAATTCACGATCACCCAGCTTCAGTTAGATCAAGACCAGCTACGCCTGAGTGGTTGGGAGCAAGGCTTTGGCACCTAATAATCTAGATGTGAATACTAATTCTGTCTTCCATTTCTGGCACAGCTTTGATCCTAAATGTTAATTGTTGTTCTAAATATCATTAATAACACACTATGTGAAAATGAAATTATAATGAAAAATGGTTAAAAACCTCTTCACAAACAACGTGTAAAGTAAGGAGAACCCATTATGCACAAAAATAATAATAAATTTTCATTCCAATTCTTCCAAATTTCACAAAAAAATTCACTTCACAATGCATACTAACAGAATCTACGTCAGAGCAGCAGATGTTAAAGGTACAGAAGCACCAAAATCCTTAACTAAAACTATTGTTTTGATAAAAGAGGTGAGTTTTAGTTAATGTGGATAATGAGTATTTAAGCTGAATTCAGAAATGCTATTTCACCTACAAACTTGAGCTGTTACTACAGTGCTTTTTTTTTAAGCACTACTCCCCTAAAGAGTGTAAATAATAATAGTTAGCAGGATAGCAACTGGAAGGAGTGCGATCTGCCCCTGTGGCCATACATACTAACTCCTAGCTCAGTGTTGGAGAGCTTGATCAGAAGCAGTAGAGCACAGGAAAATTAGAGAATGCAAACTGCCCCCTTTGAAAAGATGGCTCTTTAAAGCCACCTGCTCTACTCAATACTTAAGCACCGGAGAGCTTTTTAAACTGGACACATGAGTTCGCATAGTTTTGCTGATCCAAGAGAATAATTCATTTCTTACAAAGCCTAAATATCATTCTGCATTCTCCTGAAAACATAAACTGCTAGTGGGGAGGAACATGGTTCAACACCTTGTAAGTCCTCTGCTCTCCATATAGAACTCAGCATATATTCTGTGTCATAAATTGTGAAGAAACGAAGTAAGGAAATGAACCGAAGTGAAGATACAACAGATACAAGCTTGCCATCTAGTGGTAACATGGTAAAAATGCACATCATACACAGTTTCCGAAACAGGGAAAGATAAAGTTGACCGAAGATATGACTTCTAAAAACAGACGTCTTTGGCTACCCTAGGCACGAAAGCCTTCATTTGTCTGTAATATACACATTGTTCTAAAGATGTCAACTAAAGTCGAAACCATGTACAGCTCTGAAGACTTTCTGTTACTTGAAATCCTAGATAAAACACAGCCATTAAGATTCAGCCATATACAGTGACCTACAAGGCTGGACAGTGGTAACAGCTATTTTTTTCTTCTTCCTACATAATTTATTAAAACTATACTTTAAATCTTTAAAAATATTCTGCTGCTCTAGCTAAAGTTCTGCTTGAGAAAACACACAGTGTCGCTTTTCCCCATCTAAACTCATTCTGTATCTGACAGTTCATTAATAAATCATGGCCACTCTACTTAAAACTGCACATTAAACCAACTGTAGTCCATCCACTTCAGTGTCTGTCAGCAGGGACTTTCTGTCAGCCTGCGGAACAAAATTCCTTTCTTCTTCCTCACATCTATCAAAAAGAACCAAATGTTCCAAAACTTCATATGCCTCATTCCTTGCTTGGACCCTTATTAGAGCCTCACCGACGACCCTCGGTTGGGTGACTTATCATCCTATTGTCTTTAAAACTCATGTAATGATTCACTGTTGTGCTACTTTTCTATTTTCCAAAAATAAAGAGCTGTTGTTCTTAGCAGAATTCACACTTCAGGTGAACACTTAATAAGTGAAGAAATGCATATATAATAGCATTTCAGCAGCCCTCCCTCGCTTAGGAGGCCTCCTTTGAGCCTTGCTTCAGCTGAACGGCCCTGGAGCACTCGGACTCATTTTTATCACAGTCTTTTGTAGCAATCCTCCCCGGCAAATGCCACCTCTACTGTTCTCTCGTTGTAGTCAAAACAGGGAACACGGACATTTTTTCATGAAGCAGGTGTGGTTTACCTACTCGGCACATGCATTTCGCTCCTTGAACAAGAAGCAATCATTGGAAGCAGAAGCAAAGTCAGAAGGAATTGTTCTCACGGAGCGTGCCCTCGACCCTGTCAGGATCACAGCACCGGGTCTGAGCAGAGCTGGCCTGACCTCCTGGCTAAGGCAGTTTCCTGTGGAGTGTGTTACCACCATGCCAGCAGTAGGTGTCACACACAACTAAAGGAAGGGAGCAGAGGAGCTGGGGGGGCGGGTAGGGGGGAGCGGAGAGCAGCACAGAGAAAGGAACTAGATATTATAATCCCACATACACACATTTGATATGCATTTCTGTGAGTAAGAGCAGCTCGCATTTCTGCATTTGTTATAAAAAGCACTGGCATCTGCAGAGTTAGTTCTGAGAGTGTTCCGTAGTACAGTCAACAAAAGAAGTTCCCGAGGAAGAGCTCCAAGTACTCTGTGAGTGCAAAAGCATGTGCTGGAGACACAGACTGCAGGGCTGCAGGGACGCCTGGTACTCACCGTGGTGGTGGTGGTGATCTCCTCGGTCACAACCTTCAGGGTGTCGACCACAGAGATGTAGCCCAGCCGCTTCGCAATGGCCAAGGCGGTGTTACCATTCTGGAGAGAGGGAACGGGAGAAAGAGAGTGAGAAAGGAGAGGGAGGATTGCGATGGGAGCCAATGAGATCACCCGTGGCTCTGCATGAGCCAGCATTTCCTTCCAAAACAAGGCACAGCTTAGGAAAATCACTAGTTTTTACCATTACATCTAAATCCGTCTTTGTAACTTCTTTAGTCTATAGCCCAGGTCACCATGGTAACACAACAAGCTTGCATCTGCCTGCTCTTTTTCTTTCTTTTTTTTTAATAAGAAGCACTTGAGCTTTAACCCTAAGGGTGTCAAATATCTTCTGCAAATATTGGACCAGGCTTAGAAAAGTACCCCTTGAATTAAGAATGAAGCCTCCAGAAAATATTAGTGAGGTCCAGGTACACACTTCTTCCTCCCGAGAGGTTAGGCCATCTGCTGCATGTGAGATGTAACCACAGGGAACAGGCTAACTAACATATTTAGCTACAGCTGTGCAGAGGCACTATGCAGGAAAATAAAACAAGCAAGCAATTCAGGCTGCATCCAGCCCAGGCTGCTTGGGAGTCTGGTTTGTTTAATTGCACCGCTTAGTTTACATTTCAATGGCTCCACATCCCAATGAACTGTGTCTAAGCCAGCATCCTGGAAACTGTGCTCCCTTAAGGAGACCAGAAGGGAGGGGGAGATGTGTGCTCACATCTGAGCTCCAGCTGTAAGCAGAGGATGTTCCAACAGCCCAAGGAGGGCCCCACTCTCCAGGGAAGGCCAACTGACTCAGGCCAATGGCTTCCCCTCCTGGGAAAAGCACTCCCGGGAAGTGACACTGACTCCTGCAAAAGCTTTCAAGAAATCTGGGGCTTTCCAGAGTCCTGGGCTTATTTAAGCAGGATTTGTGGAAGCTCAATTAAGACAGAGTAGACCAGGAAGAGAACAGAGGAAGGAGGCCCTGGGAAGGGGCAGACATGTGTGCCTTACCGCAGTGGTGGCGTTCGGTTTGGCCCCATGCTGGAGCAGCACGTTGATGATGTGCGTGTGGCCCTGCTGGGCGGCCTGGTGCAGAGGCGTGTAGCCGTTCTGTGGACGACAGGGTGGCATGGACCCAGGACGATTTGCAAAAGGAGAGGGAAAGTAGGTTAGCCTTCATTGTGAATTTTTTAGCCTTAATGCTGTTTTGCTTATTGGGAGCCTGTTATTTCCAGCAGCCCATTTCTCAGCAGCAAACACTCCCTCACACCTTATGGTCTGCTAAACAAACAGGAGGGAATGACTATAGAACAACAAGATGTGCAAACTGCACATTCCATTTCTATATTTTAACTAATTGACGCTTAAAATGGGTTTGCTGAGAAAAGACTTGAAATGAAAAAACGAAGGGCATAATCACTGAAATTTCATCCTTAGGAAGCAAAGAAAGGTAAAATTGTTTTTCACCAAAGGCAAAGGAGGAACACATAAACCACCTTGTTTATCATGACTTTTCTAACATTTCCTAATATTTCCTAACATGACTTTCCTAAGTCATCTTTTATTCCGTGTGGGGATTTGAAATCAATGACATTAAGTCTACATTTTATTCCCCTTTCAGAAAATAGCTTTGGTCACAGAAGGGTACACACAGAGAACTTAGGAGCACACAGACAACTAAGGAAATATTTTTCTGAAGAGAGTGGCTCTCTTTTAATACACACGTTTTAAAACAAAAGCTGAGCCCAGCAGCGTGGCCTAGTGGCTAAAGTCCTCGCCTTGAACGCACCGGGATCCCATATGGGAGCCGGTTCTAATCCTGGCAGCTCCACTTCCCATCCAGCTCCCTGCTTGTGGCCTGGGAAAGCAGTCGAGGACGGCCCAAAGCCTTAAAACAAAAGCTTTGATACCCTGGCTGAAACTTTCATGACCTGTGAGAAACTGCTGGTAAGGTTAGCGCGAGGGCAATCCTACTCAGAATTGTGGTGGGTACTGGTATGGTACCGCTCAGTCCCAAATGCACATTAATTTTAAAGTTCTACTTAGCAATCCAAACAAACAGCAATAGCAGTCATTTAGTGAGCATTCATTTTGTGCCAAATACTGGATGTGACAGTTAAAATGAGGGTACCTGTTACATGGGAAGTGCTTCATAATGAAATAGAGGGCGAAATGAATGATGAACAAATGATTGGGTGAACTAATCAGAGGAGACAAGACTGAATATTAACAGGTAATTTCTCTAGTCAATAAAATCCTGTATACAACATCCTGACAGTCAATGGCTATCAAAGTCACTAGTTTTTTTTTTTTTAATTCTACATACTTGTAACTTATTCTTTCAAAACCCCAGCTCTTCTGGACTCTAAGTTCTGAGTAGTGCATTCATACCTTATACATGCAAGGATATATATCCTTTTTATTCAATATCACTGCTGCCTCATAACCCACACACATATTTACTTATCTTCATGAAGTGTCTATATATGGATATTATGTGATTCTTCTTACACTTTCACTATGACCTTTTGCAAAGGAATTTGTTCCTATGTGTGAGCCTTGAGCCATGTCCCTAAGTCTGGCACATCCTCAGGAATTCCTCTTCCAGACTTGCTCAAACTATATTTCCCAATGATGGAATTGGCCCAAGGAAAGCTAGAGACACACAGCAATTATAGTGGTCTGAGGAACTATTAGCTTATCCAGGGAACTCTCTCAAATCAGGGAACCATGAACACTTGAAATGCATAAAGTGATATTTATTTTCCTTTGTGTTCATAATGTTCTAACAATGAAATTTAACTCATGTCTTCCGTATCAGTGGAGTTAAGTTATTCAACAACCATCTATTCACTGTACTGTGCACTAAATAACAGCATAAAGTTATTTATAATACATGAAGGACATTATATAGTCAAGCAAACTATATTAATACATTTCAGCTTATGTACAAATGAATCATGCTGAATAGACAGGAATGTTGCCAAAGTAATAGTCTTCCCCTTCAATAGGTTATTATACAAGAACCCACAGTGTACACTGTGGGCAGCAAAATGTATCCTCCGGTCCTGATATGACCTAACTTCCACCTGTAGCTACTGACAAGGGGGGATATTTACCAGGAAGTTTGGAGTGACAAGAAAGCCTTCATATGAATACTTGGTGGAGGCTTAAAATCGCTGTCATGAGCCATCTGGCCAAAAGTCCTAAGCCCAGCTGTCCTACTATTAGCCAAATCCCTAAATCACACCCTCTCTTGAATAAATGGAAATGGTCAAAATTTCAAATTTGGGGAAGAACGAAATAAATTGTCCATAATTTTTTTTAGCTGATGAAATTACATGAAAAAGCCAGCCAATATTGTTCCTCCCCCCTTGGTGAAAAGACTGATAACTTCTGCATCATATTTTTTATGAAGACAATTTCCTCTTAAATACTCCAGTTCTCAACCTGTTTCACAAGTTAAACACACCATTAGCCAAGGCTCCCTTGCCTCAAGCCAAAGTGACAGAGTTTCATTTTAACTTTAAGCAATTAATATTCCTATAAGATAAAATCATTTAGATTAAGTAATGGATGTTTGGAGAATAAAGGCAACACATAGGTTTGCATCCTCCAAGCAATGAAAAAAATCTTTAATATCTATGGATACACATGAGAAGCCAAGGAGAAAACATAATTCTTTAAGCAGAGATCTCATTCTAAATAAAACAAATTCTGAAGAACTTATTACAAGACTGTCCTTCAAGGCATGTACTGTCTTACAGACAAGTGGTTCCAAATGCAACAATAAAAGTTCCACAGTTCACTTAAAAGCAAACAAAAATCTGAAAAAGAGATATGACTCTGAGAGACACGTCTATTTGATGAAGACAAAATATGGGGGAGGATTCTGATATTGTCTAAATAATACAGTGCTTGACTTCTTAATGGTTAAACCATCTAAACAATCTAAAAGTTAACACAAAGATATGGTATTTTGATGCCTTGCCAAGATGGCTTGTACTGTGACAGCTGGACCTTTCAGGAGAATTCCAATGATAATGTCTTCCCTGGAGGGCTAACCTGTGAGTTGGCTCAGCACAAAAGGTTTGGGGAGCTAATGTCTGAGAATTTATACTGGGACTTCCAGAGGAATCTCAAAGCATGATTTCTTGATATCTTTCAAACTGATTAGAAACTAGGTAAGCAGCTTTTCTTGGCAGTAGATTGTTAAGTTTGAATCTCAAATATCCACAGTATGAGCATGGTTTCAGCAGAACAAGTTTATTATAAATCAGCTGATAAATATTCTTTGTAGAGAAATTACTCTTTCTACTTCTATGAGGACATAAACAGGAAGAGTGGCTTAGAAGACTTTTACATATATTTCATTGCTAATATCTTAAATGATGCCTCCAAAATGTCTGGATATGCTCTTGTAGCTTGCTTGAACTTACACAGCTGCAGACGAAGATTCCTGATATTCTATGAATTTAAGATATGGCGTGAATGTTTATCTGGCCAAAGAAGCTGGAGTTTTAAGCTCTATTATGCACAGCAGCAGCCATTACAGGAATCATTTCTCTTCCTTTGGAACCCACTGAAGTGTACTAAGTGCTTACACATTAGCTTTCAATCTTGCTTGGCTGAACAAGACCCCTATCAGGTACCACTGGGAAAAACAGCTGTGGTCAAATCAGCTCTACATTATCTGTCAGAACTTTCAGCTCAGGTCTTATACATCATTTTCTCACTCAACAGGACCATGTGATGTTCCTGATGTGACAGACTTCATGAAAAATGAAAGGTGCGCAATTTAGGCTGCCTGTCTATATTTCTTCCCCGAAAGAGGAGAGGAGAATCCCTAAAACAACATAAAGGAAAGCTTCTAGAACACCAAGTTCTCCTAACAGGCATTTAGTGTATTCAGCAGCAAATTGTGAAGTTGATGGTTCCTGCTTCACCTTGACAACAGAAGCTCTGAAGCTAATCTATGTGACTGGCAAGGTCATTATAATGAGGTCTCAAACAATTTTTAAAAATTCATTGCTTCCTTCAAGTCTGATTAGAAAAAAATAAAGACAAGAAAACCCAAGCATTTGTAGCCATAGTAAGCTGTTTGTCTATTCATTAGCTGAATCTTTTTGCTTATGGAAAATGAAAAAAGGACAAGTATTTTACCTTTGTTTTTGCATTAACATTTGCTCCTTGCTTCAGAAGAAAGTTGACCATTTTCACATTTCCGTAGTGACAGGCCACAATTAAAGGAGTGTAACCAAGCTGCAAACAAAGGATGTAGTAGCTTTATTACTTTAGTGGTAAATACTCTTTAGAGAAAAGCATTAGGTAGAATATCAGTTGCTGTAGGGCGAGTAGAAATTCAATTGTATTGTACAGATATTATCGGAGTGGTTTATATGATGTTTCCTGTGGACACAAACATGGATATAGGTATATACCTGGCCAGATAAAGTTTAGCATTAGCAGGATAGACACATGTCAAATACATATATGACCTACTTTGAGAAAGAGACAGGCTCTGATTGTATGACCTGAAAACATGAGAGGCTAACTCTGACAGGTGTGTCTGTAGGAGATGCAGGTGAGACATAATAATGTGAGCTCAAGAAAATGGGTAATATTTAAAGGTTGGCAGTGTTGCTTAGTGAGTAAAGCCACTATCTACAAAGCTGTCTCATATGGGCACCAGTTCATGTTCCTGCTGCTCTACTTCCAATCTAGTTCCCTGGTAATTGCCTGGAAAAAGTATCAGAGGATGACCTTTGGGCCATTTACCACCCAATGTTGGAGACCTGGATGAAGCTCCAGTAAGCTGATTTCAGTTTGGCCCAGTCAGGGGCCATGACAGCTAAGTGTGCAATGAGCCAGCAGATGTCTCTCCCTCTCTCATTTTTAACTCTGACTTTGAATAAACAAATCTTCTTAAAAACTGGATAAGAGTTTAATGGCATAGAGAGTGAAAACCATCTGAAAACAAAGGGCATGAAAGTAAGCAAGTACAGGAAGAAAACAGCAAGTCATCTGGACCAGCTAAAGCAACAGACGCAAGGACAGATTCAAGCCTATAGAAGTGGAGGCTTCTTGCAACTGACCCTGACTCCATGCCAGTCTACTGGACTTGACTGAAGCAAAAATGGTGACCCATTCCATATTTGTGACCAAAAGACCATCATGATTAGCTTAAGCTTCAGAAGGAGCATTTGAGGAGGAAGATACGGACCTGGGATGATGCAAACAGAGGACTATGGAGAGTCTGGCAAGCCGGAACTTACCACAATATTTATAAAACTTCTTTACCTTTGTATGAGCATCCTTGTCAGCCCCTTGCTTGGTGAGAATTTCAGCAACATTCACTTTATCTTCTTGGGCTGCGAGGTGTAAGGAGGTGAGTCCACTCTACAGATAAATCCAGAAACAAATGGGTACATTTAAGAGGTAAATAAATTGCATCATCTATATTATCATGCCTTCCCCCAAATTCTTGAAAAACATATTCCCTATTCCAGGAAAATGTAGATTTTGATATCTAAGACTTTCGAGTTTAAGATCAACTCTATATTAATCAATACTTTCAGCAAATGGCATCTTGCATTTTCTATATTGGCTACTTCTGATGAGAGACTAAAACTTTCAAGTAACGTACATTTAGAGTCCATCTTGGCCGTCTGTCGAACCTATTCATTTTAAATAATTGATTAATTAAGTACTATTTCTACTTTGTAACCATGGTAATCATCTATATTTTATCAATAAAATACTGTGTCAACACAGTTTCTGAAAAGAACTCAGATGACTTATCTCCAGCACCCAAAGGTGATGTTCCCCTGCCCATTTGTACAATAGAATAAACTAGCCATTTTGCATAAAATACTTGACATACATGCATTAAATCACTACATTGATTATTCAAAAACACAAGTAAAATGCAGTTATACATGAATACAAAAATTAATGAGGGTGAAGGAAAAGTGGTTGATTCAGTCACCATTACACTGTAATGGCAGGCTCATCATGTATGCATGCACCATCCATCCAGTAAAAACAGTTTGGTATCTTAAAATCTAATTAACTTTCTTGTTAAACAGGGTTTTTTTCTCAGTAACTTTCATATGCCAAAAAAGTGTTCTAGATAACTCAGTATAGCAGGGAACAAACTTTCTGTCCTTACAGAATCTACATTCCAGTTTCACACTGCATGTTCCCCACCTGCCAGAATTGCTAAATGCCTAGCACATTTGTCTTGTTGCTGTACATCCTGCAGCTGTAGAGAAGGAGCTGTCTGGGCTGGGAACCAGAATCGAGTACACATTCAGCTGAGCTGCACCAGTGCTGCAGGTTCACATTATCACTACCAGCTCTTCTCTGTTAGCATTAGGGAGCAAAGCTAAGCTGCTCTTCCAAACCCATGATCTCCGGCCATTGCTGAACTTCTAGAAATCAAGGATGCTGTCCTTTAAAAAAATACGAGTGATACTTACAGAGAGAAAACACTCTGCAACCAGAGGCTTTCTATTGGAGAGCCTGCAGTTTTTCAGTTTTTAAGGCTCTGACTGAGCTCAGTGAGACAGAAAGTAGACCTTTTTGCATTGAAAGTGTGCCACTTCTAAATAAATGTTTGATCCTAAAATTAAATCTGCATAATGGAACATCTGAATATTTGAATAAAATAGACGACTCTCCCTGTTGATTTTTTCCCCATACTAGAATAGCAAGCATTAAAATATTCCCCCTTACAAAGATAGCTGATTTTTTTTTTTAGGTAATATTGAATGGTCATTAAGTAAAGTGAACTGGGGTCAGTATTGTGGCAAAGCAAGCTAAGGCACTGCCTGTGACAATAACATCCCATACGAGTGCCAGTTCATGTCCCTGCTGCTGTTTCCAGTCCAGCTTTCTGCTAATGTGTCTGCAAAAGCAGCAGATGATGCCAAAATTTTTGTGCTCCTGACACCCACATGAAAACTAGCATAGAATCTCAGGCTCCTGGCTTCAGCCTGGCCCAGCCCTGGCCATTTCAACCATGTGGGGAGTGAATCAGAGGCTGATCTCTCTCTCTCTTCTCTTTTTCTCTTTCTTGTCCCCTCTAACTAACTTTGCCTTTCAAGTAAATAAATAAAATATATTTTAGAAATATTAACTGGTCAGGAAATGTCTCAAAAACAACTTTAATGTCAATTCATATATATATTTATATGCCTTTTGCTGGTCTACAAGGAGGCCTTCAAAAAGAACTTGGAAAATACATATTATGGAAAAATTATGGATCTCAAAATACTTAAAATATGCATCACTTAACTTCATTGCCGTATTAACTTTTAGAAGACACTCATATTTCATAATGGATAAAACATAGCATTATAAATTAACACCTAATACAAAAAGTCACTGTAGTTTATTACGATTCACTTACATCCATACCAAACTGTGTAAATATTTTTAATAAATTTAGGAAATGGAAGATATTGAAGAGTTTTTGTTTTTCAAATTTTGAGTTTATGTCCTAAGCTACACTGGAGGACTCTGTGGTTTGATGCCATTATATCGTTGCCAGATGAAGAAAATAACATAGGGGCTGGCATTGTCATATAGCAGGTAAAGTCATCACCTGCAAGGCTGGCATTCTATGTGTCCCAGTTGAAGTACTAGATGCTCCATTTCCAACTAGCTTCTAGGAAAGAGGCAGAAAGTGGCCCAAGTGTTTGGCTCCTCATTCAGGAGACTGCATGAAGCTCCTGGCTCCTGGTCTTGACTTGGCTTGGCTCTAGCCTTAGTAGCCATTTAGAGGAGTGAACCAACACATGGAAGATGTCTTTCTCTCTCTCCCTGTAACTCTGATGCTCAAATAAATAAAGCTTTAAAAAGAAGTCAATATAACTCCTATATTAATGGTATTATTGAGGAATAATCATTGGAGAGTATAAAATTACTCATTTGAGTTGATCCCAAATAGAAAAATTCTCTTTGTCCCTTGCAAAAGCAAGGAAAAAGTGTATTGCCACTTTTGTTGCATACTTGGAAAATTTTTCTACATTTACATTATTATTAAAATGCCAAACCAAAAGCATGATTACATTTTTACATTTGTAGATTTTATACATATTATATTGTTATTCAGGTACATGTGAGAACATTTATTAAAGCTTCATTCCAGTCACAAACATACCAAACCTTTGTCCTCAAGACATCACCAAAGTAAAATCCTGAAATATTTATTTTTAAGATAATATTACTTTGTGATTCAAATCAGTATTATTCTCCACTGCTGAGTGTGCAACTCAAAAATGTCCATTAAAACTTTGCTGACTAGCTATTGAAATACCCTCAAGGAATGACTGATCTGGAAAAATGCTATTAAAAGGACATAGTGAACGAATTCCAGATGTGCATTCATTATTTTGCTAAATCACTTCCAAATCAAAGATGGACTCCCAATGAAACTGTTAAAATATATTTTGACAATAGGATAATAGACTCTCTGCCATTGTCCATTACTGCAATTTCAAATACAGTTAAAAAGCAGAATGATGGACTTAAACTGCTTATGAAGGGCTATACTATTTAAATAATATAGGGAAAAAATCAATAGGGGAAAGGGAATTGGGGGATGGGGTAAAGGAAATCCCAAAGCCTATGGAATTGTATCATTTAAAAAAACAATTGCTGAAGAGCTGGCCTCCCCTGAGGGCTGCCTTCCAGGCAACTGGGCTCAAGTTAGAGGCCTACGCAGCCATGTGTTGAGAGCCAGGTAGGCTGGTTCGTCCTGGTGGTGGGGCCCCAGGCAGTGGAGCCCTGGGTCACCCAGGGTTTCAACTTGAGGGGAGAACATGAGGGCTTTCAAAGGTCAGACCGAAGCACCACCCTTGTGGGAGATCAGAACTGGGATCGTTAAGACTGACTAATGCCAAATACCACTGAAGTTTAGGCTGGGGGCATACCTGGCAGGGCTAGACCACGGTACCTGTCAGTGAGAGTCATAGCTGGTACAGGAAATGTTAAGCAGGACCATGGTACTAACCAGTATGCAAGAGAACTGAATCTGGGGGCAGATTCTATCAGGGGTGTGTGGACCCACCCCTGTGATTTGTAATTGCAACTGGTTTCCTTTGGAGCTGGTGGCATGCTGAGGTAGGCATGACCATGGAATCCCTGACACTCATGGGTACTGAGGTTGGGTATTGGCTGGGTTGACCCAGGCTGCAGCACTCACGGGCACACCCAAGAATATAGTGTGGGGTGGGCCAGGCTGCAACATCTACCACTGATACATAGGATGGGACAGAGAGGATAGTATGCTACCAGTAAGGATCTAGCACCTGCTGGCACATATGAGATCTGAGTCTGGGAGTGGAACTGGTGGAGGAACTTGGTAAACTCCCCTGGTGGGCCATAGCACCTGGTGGTGAGATGTGATGCAGGCCTGAGTGTTGGTTAAATCTGTTAGGGTAGCTCCACCTATTGGTAAATGTGATTTGTTTTTGGAAGGGGGTAAACCAGACAGGGCCAGGCCAACCTAAGCCCATTGACAAATGCAGAAGCAAGGTTGGAATGAGGGGCATGCTAGGCTATCACATCTACTGGTTTCCATGAGTCAGAAATGGGAACAGACTGGGCAGGGCCAGGCTGTTGCACTCCCCAGCAAGAGTTTGGACTGAGTGCAGGCTGGGTCAGTCCAGGCTGCAGCATCTGATGACAAAGATCAAGAGAGAGAGGGGATAAGCTAACCCAAGTTGGGTCAGAGCAACCACTGGCACATGCAAAATCTGTGCCTGGTTGGGGAGCTAAGGGTATGCCCCGGCTGTGCTATGGTTCCCACCAGTAAATGCGAGAGCTGGAATGAATGTGATGGTCTGGGCTAGATGTGGTTGCAGTGTCTGACGGCATGGGTATGAACTGGGTCTGGGGTGCGCTGGGCTTGGCTAGACTCCAGCATTTGCTGGTGCTCATGAGAGCCAGAGTGGGTGTAGAACAGGCTGGGCTAGGTCACATGAGGTTGTGTCAGGGAGTGGACTAGGTATAACTAGGTTGTAACACCCAACAGTAAGAACAAGAATGGGTAAGAGCCAGTTAGGCAAACAGACTGTTCCTGCCAGGACAGGAGGTTGACTAAGTCGGCTCAGGCCAAGGACCCACCAGTATACACAAGATCTGCCACTGGGAGGAGACCCAACAAGGAGCTTGGGGAATTCTTATCTGGGTGCAGCCCTTGCAGGTGAGTGCAAGATCCAAGGAAAGGAGAGCCCATCCCGACCAGGTTACAATAGCTGCCAGCATAGGTATGGGTCAGGTCTAGGCGAGGGCCAGGCTGCGCCATTTCCTAACACTCACGGGCAGATCTGAGAATCAGGATGGGTTGAAGGAAGGCTGGGTCTGGCAGCATCACCAGCCAGTTCACATGAGGGCTGCGACAGGGGATTGACTGTGCCAGGTTGTGTGGCAGCACCACCAGCACAAGCTGGAACATGGGCAGACCAGTCCAGACCAGCTACAGCACCCACCAACAAAAACTGAGGTGAGACAGACCATGCCAGACTGAGCCACCACACCCACCTGCACACATGAGATAGGGGGAGGTGTGAGAACCTAGTAAGGTTTCCATGAGTCAGTAGTGGGAACTCCCCTGTTGTACCACTGTTCCGGTTGGTGAGTGTGAGAACTGAGACCAGGTTGGGCAAGGCTACAACACCTGTTGGTCTACATGTGAACTGGATTAGTGGGAGAGCCAGGCTGGGCTAACTGATTGTATCCACTAGTACAGCAGTAAGGGCAAGATGGCTGGGCTTTGCTGCAGTATCAGCAGGCTAGTGCTGGAACTGGGGGCAAGTCCTGTCAAACTAGAGTGCAGAACCAACTGGAGTGTGCAAGATCCGGGGCAGAAGTGAGCCCATTAGGGAGTATGTGAGCACCTCTCTGATGGGCTGCAGCTTCCACTGGTGAGCATGAGAATCAGGACTGTGGGCAGGCCTGGCTGGACAGGAGGTGGCACACGCAGACATGATTGTGGACTGGAGGGTGGAGTTGATTGGTTTGAGTTAAGCTTCAATGTCCAAAGATGTGTACAAGAGCTGACTGGGATGTGGGACAGACCAGACCAGTTCACAACACATGTTGGCAGGAACCAGAACTTGGGGCTGGTCCAGTGAGGGTTGTTGGGGGTCGCTCTGACTGGGCTTCAGCTCCCCCTGGTGTACATGAGGGCCAAGTGTGTGGTGGGCAGGGTTGTGCTGGGCTCGAGCAACTATTGGTTTGCAGAGGAAAGAGGGCAGAACAAATTGATCAACTACCCCAGTGAAACTTGAGAGCAAACTTCTTGGCAAATGGAGACTCTGAGGTGGACTCTATCAGCCAATTGACCTTGGAAGGATTTCCTCATCCTTTGAGCTGTGATATCAATTGCATCTCAGAACTATTGAAACCACCTGGGTGAAACCCTCAGAACATGCTCCACAACAGGGACCATGGAATGACATTGGTTACTGAGCAAGTTGGGCGTGGCCTCTCCCATTGTGTCCTCTCCTCTCCAAAGAAAGAAGAAAAAGAAAATGTGTAAACAATGGTTTTGTCCACTTTCCCCTGATCCTGGACCCTTCCCACCCTGATTAACTATGTAAAGATCATCAAAAATAAAATTTAAAAAATCTCCTTATCAGAAGGACCACTTGGTGAATTACAGGAACTCTCTAGAATGTTACTCCTACCTCCATATGTGTTGGGCTTTTTGGGTTTTTTTGCAAATTTTCAAATGAAGATTTGTATTTTTTTAATACACATTAAACTCAAACGTCATCAATATACAAACATCACATAAAATATTATATGTTCATGGTCAGAATATCCTCAATTAATATAATGACCTTCTGAATAGCCTGATTTCAGTGCCCATAGTTTCTTAGAATCTTGACTCCTCTGGAGTATATATGCATATACGTGAATATAAGTATAAAACAGATTAATTTGGGGATATACAGATAGATTGATGTGGATACAGACATGTACTTATAAAATGTACTATTTTGAATTTGAATAGTATCTTCCCTTCTTCCTTTGATTATCCTTCTATTCAAACTTGCATTGTAATCTAAGAAAAGATCTCTTCTGCAGAAAGATTGAAATGACTAAAGTAATTCATGAAAACCCTGACTTCCTGACCACCACTCAAGCTAAGCTGAAGTTGCCTTAAAAGCATTAGTATTTTTTCTGAATTTTCTGAATCCTACCCAAGGCATGTCTGATATTTCAGAACTAGATTATGATGGAGTGTGGACTTGAGCTCGGCACCTTGAATGTACTTGTTTGGGTCAAATCCCAGACAAAACTGACATCATTCTACCTCTCTGTCGATCTCTCTTCCTCTCTCTTTTTTTAGCTGGAATTTGGAAGTAGGCCTAGCCGATATGAGAGCAGTCTGGGCTTATTGCTTGAACTGTGGATGGCCGACATTAAAGCTAAGGGGTAATCCCTTGTGTCACCACAAAGAAGCAGAAAAACCAGATTACAGAATAAGATGAATGAAATGACTTGCAGAGAAAAATTAATTCACAAAAGTGTGGCCAAACACTTTACGCAAAAATGTGACAAAACACTCAGTCTGCAGACCCTCGCTTGCTTCTTAATGGCTTTTTGGTGGTCCATAAAGTTTGACTCTTTTCTCTCCAGGGTCCATAAGATCTTTCTGTTTTCTTCTGTCACATCTCCCTGTTCGTTCTAATTTACCTCTGATTGGCACCTGTTTACATTCACCCAAAAGACTCCTGATGCAAGCAACAAGCAAGAGTAGGATACCTTGGTTGACATATGAATATTGGCTCCCTTATTCAGAAGCAAGGAGACCATATCTGTGTGCCCCTCCTGCGAGGCCAGGTGGAGTGGAGTGACTCCTTGCTTTGTCACAATGTTAGTCTCTGCTCCATAATTCAGGAGTGTGGACGCTATTTGCATTTGATTCTTCTTGGCAGCAATATGTAAAGGAGTATAGCCATTCTAAAAAAAAAACACACATTTAATAAGTTTATCAACTGTTCTAGTATCTTTTTAGAAGAAAACAAGAGTCTCTCTCAAGTCAGCAGAAAAGTTAAAAGTGAGTTTATAGTTAATCCATGCTCTAACTTATCATAATGATACCACCCAACAATATCCAAATCTTTGCAACCAAAGTTACAAGACACCCCATTTACTGTGAGAAAGACGGACACAAAAGTCCTAAAGCTGAAATTTCCCTCCTTACAACATTGGTTTGTTGCTAAAGAGCAATTTAAAATAAGTTTGGTTCCTCTTCCATGTAATCTTCCTTCAAATATCTGGGGGTGATTTTCATGTTTTGTTTTAGAATTCTCCTTTCCAAGCTAACCTTTCTCCTTTCTTCATCTAAAGCTGAAGAAACATGGTTTCTAGAGCTCTTCTGTGAAGGGCACTTTGTTCTGAACTGATTCTAGGTGTCAGTATTGCTTTTGAATTACATTACCCATAAATGAAAGCCACATTTCAACTGTGATTTTAGCAGTAAGAATTAAGTGGTTATTACTTCTATGATCCTGTTACAGCAGTTCTACCAACGTGTTCCTGAATAGACACCACATTTCTTTATCTACTTAGCAAATATTACTGGATGTTTAGCATAGGCCAGACAGTGTCCTGGGTGTAGAAATATGAATAGTGAACATGATGTGATCCCTGTCTTTAAGGAGTTGCATGAAAATGGAAGAGGCATTAAACCACAAAATGGACTTCTATTAATCCTGTGGTCAGTTCAAATTCTAGATCTCACATTTTGGTCAATGCCTGTCACCTCAAATGTAGAAACATGAGACTACTAGTTTTACCAGGGGGTTTTGTGGAGTAGACCAAGATAATTTATACTTGGCTTACAAGAGTCTATCTTGAAATCTTACTCTTAATTAAAACAGAAACAAACAAAGAGCACTCAGACTGTAACATGTTTTTTTTTCTTTCCTTTATTACATCTGATAGAATTTTTCATGATGAATGTGTGATAGAAATGAAAAACAAAGACTATGCCATTAGCTGTGATATGATGAAGGGTAACACAGAATAATGATCCACTGCTTCTTCTGAGACAAAAATAAGGGGCATTTTTAGGTGATGCCATTTCTTAAGTTTTAAGACACCATCAAATTTTGGACCATTTCCTATTCTGTCCCATCTCTCTAAGTGAAAATAGGCATCTTTGACTTTTGACAAATAATATTTCTACTAGGAACACTCCTTGGAAAAGTTTTGTGGATCTAATCATAGTCCCACATAATCCAGCTGCTTCTGAAGGTTGCACTTGGGTTCATGGGTTCTACCGAATAAAATGGCAAATGGATTTTTGCAGATGTCATATATTTAGGCATTTCATTTTTGATATTTTGTTCCCAATTTCCCTTATTTCTGCAGCATACACTCCACCAACTAAAGAGTGACGGCATTAGCCTAGCAAGATTTACATCAAGACAGATGGGGGAAGCACAACAACCCGGGTGTCAGTTTTGGCAAAGGAAGAGGACTTTTTTGCTTGGGAGACAGATCTGAAGAGCCTCCCATCTCACAGAGTGTACAAACATTTGTAATCAGTAACTGATACCCTCTCTATGGAGAGCAAGTTTTAGGATTGTGTTAGGAGTAAGCAAAGAGCCTCAGGACCCAATGGGTGTGTGCTGGATGGAGCAGGAATGGTGAGCAGAGTGTTCAGAATGGAGAGGCTGGTGGGAGTCACACCAATCTGCTTGCAGAGGCCAAAGAACTGAAGAACCACTGCTTAGCCACAAGCTGAGCCAGTCGATAGCAAACACCAGGGGAAGCTTGCCAGGGCACCTGGTCCACTGTGGCCTCAGGAGTAGAGGGGTCAGTTTACCCCCACCATGCAGACTCAGTTATGCGTATCTGAGTAGAAGCCGTACATGGCAGAAGCCAGAGATGCAGACTGCCATGATTTCTTTAGGAAAACCGTACACAGTATTTAATAATCTATTCTTCTTGTATTGGTAGCATAAGAGTTCTAGAATACTTGTTTTAGTTTTCCCTCTTATTAAATTATGTAATCCTATCTTTTCACATAGTGAAAGGTCACTAATGGTATGAGATAGTCTTTAGTTTTCATGACCATGTTGCAAATGGTCAGCTTGGATAACTACACAAGAAACTACCATTGTGCTACGTGAGATGTGTTCTCATCACATTGAAATAGTGTTCAGTATTCACCCTTTCATGCAAATTTGTTGAGAACTTGCAAAAATACTCTTATGGGGTTTCAACAGTATGCAAGTGAGTGACATATGATTATCCTCAAGCAGTGTGCAGTGTGAAGAAAGACCAAAAAATGCACTTGATGAGATTATTGAGAAAAAGATGTAAAGGAATAAGAACTCTATGCATAATTATAAAAATTTGACTGCGTTTTGAAAGTTCAGGTAGTTGATTACAAGTTACTTAGTGGAATGAAAAGGTGTGTATGTTAATAGACACATGTGTTATATTACTTATATCATTACATGTAATATATACATGGAATACAATCCTGGATAGCATATACTTATATATATCATTTTATCATAAAATTATGTATCAATTTGTTATATGTATAATGCATATAAGCATAGGAAAAAGCTTCAAAAAGTTCATGGAAAACAGGTGTTATCTTTTCTAACGCAAAATAGAAGTGGAAGAAATCTCTTTTTTGCTTTGCAACCTAATTAATCTAGTAGTTAAAGAGCACTTGGAGGTCAAACAGAAATCACATGACTTTGAAAAAACTAATCTATTTAAACCAGCTTTTTTTTTTATCTGAAAGATGGAGAACATTATAATACTAATCTCTTGGATTATTATGAAATGAAATGAGGTGTGGCATGCAGAATGATCAGCACAGTGTGTGGCACATACATATTATAGCATGAGTATTTTCCCATAACAGTCTTTTTATCTTTATCATTTTTTTTTAAGATTTATTTCATTTGAAAATCTGTTCTACAGAGAGGAGGACAGACAACAAGGAAGATCTTCTGTCCAATGATTCACTTCCCATGCGCCCCCTGTGACTGGAGCTGAGCTGATCCGAAGCCAGGAGCCCATTGCCTCTTCTGGTCTCCCGCATGGGTGCAGGATCCCAAGGCTTTGGGCCATCCTCGACTGGGATTAGAACTGGCTCCCACATTGGATCCTGGCTCGTGCAAGGTGAGGACTTTAGCTGCTAGTCTACCATGGCGGGCCAAGTCCTTTTTACTTTTGAAAGTAAACCCTGATACAGTATCAAAATGTATGTTTTCTGAATTAACAAATGATGACTTTATGTTTTATGTCACATTCGTGTGTATTTTCAGAGTAATACAAGGGCAATTTAAATGGTGGCAAATGTCCTGTCCACAGACATTAGTCCCAAAAGCCTTAGAGACGAAAAGCCTTAGTCTTGGCAGTAAGATTCATGTCTACCAGTTTATAGACATACGCCCCTTAGTATTTACTAACCCCCTGCAGATCTAAAAGGTTTCATAGACGCAATTGTTAGAAATTTTTTCATGTCAGTGTTAAAAGCTATTATTAGGACTAGTCGCAGTTTTACCATAGCATGTGTTTCCAAATCAGTGCCCACACGCTTTCAGATCACAGTTACACCTTACATACATCCTTTTCTGTGTCCTCACCTTGGCAGTGGCATGAGGGGAAGCACCCTTCTCCAGTAACAGCAGCGCCACCTTCTGGTTGTCATAATGAGCAGCAACATGGAGTGGGGTAAGGCCATTCTGTAAAGGGTGTGTTTAAGTTTCAGCATTAATAAATTAGCGTTAGCTACCCTGAAGCTGTCAGGATGGATGGACACTGACAAAGATTAATTCCATGTTAATTAATTAATAGAGCTGATAGAAATAAAGAAAACAAATATCTAATAATTTTAATATTAAGAATGTAGCTAAAATGGAAAAGTATTGGTGGAGGTTACAGATAGCAAAGAATATCTTCACGGTCGTAGCAAATAAAGGTAAAAGTACTATGTAAGAATTACTGCATTCACAGTGCATGGATCTTTACACAGAGACGTTCTGAGCCCTGTCCGTGACAAGCACACTAACAGGTCAGCCTGAACCAGTGTGTGCTCAAAGCGATGGGCAGAGTCCCAGCATATCTGCTTGGCATCGCTTCATCTCGTGTCTTCTTGTTCCTCTCACATCTCCAAATCTCTCAGGGTAATTTAGTTCTTAAAAACACACCATTGAAAAGACTTACCTTTCCTGCAGAGTCTGCGGCGGCACGGCGTTGCAAGAGAAGTTTTGCCACATCCAGGCTTCCATACTTGGCTGCTACATGCAGCGGAGTAAAGCCTTTCTGCAATGTGAAAAACCAGAAATGTTTATAACGAAATCTGTCTTATTTGTTAACGTCTTAAGCCAACTATACTCATCTATGTCTGCAGAAATTACTGGTAGCATAAAATGTGTTAGCCATAAGCAAGGACCCTGGTAAGGTATGAAATTTAATGTTGAAATTTAGCTTGGTGGACTGAACAACGGAAATTGTGTCGAGGAATTGAAATTAGACTTTGTAACGTGAGTAAACCAGCCCCAGCTTTAGGGGGCGTGGGGTTCTTATAAAATTACTGGGATTGAGACAACAGCTGTCATCTTCCCAACATTCCTCCCCAACACCCCCGCCAATACTTTTTGTAACACCTGGAATCCAAATCTCATCATTTAATTTTTAGGTTATTTTGACACCAGTGGAAAAAGTAATTTTTTGTGAATCAGTTGACCGATTATTTCCTGCAACAAGAGCAGGATAAATGGTCTACAGAACAAAAAACGCTCACAGTCTCAAAGCAACCTTCGTCTGGAGTGCTGTCCCAACCCCCTAGGAGAGTACCAAAAGATTCCTTTTGGGTAATACACGCCATTTCTGGCACGATGGTGGACTGATTAACACCAGACTTTTAAACAGACCAAAACTTTAAAGTTTGCTTTTTTAAGACTGCTCTCCTACATATTTGTACCTAGACATTTGGTGTATTGTGTGCCTGGATGATAGCTGTGTTCTGTAATTAGCAGTGTCTTTTAAAAACAGATGACTCCCTGGATTTAAAATCTTGAGAATGGCACAGTTCCTACACTGTAATCTCAAATCCATCCTTTTGGCCAGACAGCTTAACCACATGTTCTCTTGGCACCACAGTGGGAGTGGGACAATTCTGACACTGACCAAGACCTGTAAAACGCACACAGCAAGTATGCCTGGCTTGACTATGCTTGTCGTGGGTCATGTCAGCCTTGATGGGGAACAGAGAATAACTTCCAAGATGCAATGATGCAACATTGTCCTTTGCACAGAGTCACCAAAATATTTTTAATGAAGATGACTCCCCCCTCCCTTTAGCTCCTTTTAAAAACATTTGGTCCTAATAAGTTCTTGGAAGAGAGTGAATCCTGGCTTTTTCCAAGTGTGGAACAAACGCAGGAAGTATTTCATCCTTTCGTTTAAACTCCCTTCGCTACACTCAAAGCACGCAATGACTGGGGTAAAACTTGGGAACAATGGAATTGTTTGAGACAAATCAGATGGTGAGGAGGAAAAGAAAAACCTTTTCATCCTTAGAGTCCTACTGAAACAACGATTCAAACTTTATTATAAACTTGGAAACTGTTAACCAAAACTACATTAAATATTTAGTGTGGGATCACAAAATCCAGGTTGGAAATCATCTCTCAAGTCACACTTGCTCCCGTGTTAATCTCCTCAGGACTGCATTTGCCTGCTGTTATTTATAAACACCAAGTAATTGTAATGAAGACTCAGCTACTACTCAACTCTACTCATACCATTAGTGGCTCTGTTCAGCAGTTTCTCCCATTTTAATGTCCTACTTTACTTTGAATTAGATAGTTTTGTGTTTTGTTTTTGTAAGGTTTTTTTTAAACATTCATTTAAAATACAGAAGTCCAGAAGGAGAGCCAGAGAAAGATCTTTCGTATATCGGTTCATTTCCCAAATGACTCTAAGGGCCAGGAATAGGCCAGATCGAAGTCAGGAGCCAAGAGTTTCATCCAGGGAAGAGCCCAAGTGTTTGGGCCATTTTCTGGTGCTTCTTCAGGTGCATCAGCAGGGAGCTGGATGGCAAGTAGAGGACTCCAACTGATGCCCATATGGGACGCTCGTATGGCAGGTGAGGGCTTAACCCAAGATGCCACAGTGCTGGCCCCTAGATTTAGTTTCTAAATCCCAAAAATCTTTGAAAAACAAGAGGTTATGCTTTATTTCTTGTTTTTGTGTTTGTATATATTATATTTTATTTGTTATACTTTGATCTGGTAAAAAAAAATCAAGTCTTCGGTTATACTTTCCATTATTATATTTGTTGGAAAGTTTATTTTTTTAAAGAAAGAATTGTAAACTCTGGCTTCAGGATTGGTATACTGATCAATCTCTGATATTAAAACAACTGTTTAACAGCCACAGAAAAGCAAATAAGCCTTAATAGTAACTGGATTCTTCCTTTGTCCAAGAGAACATGGGCCATGTCACTGCCTCAGCTCATGTTTAGGCACACCTTCTCCCAGGAGGAAGTATTTATACTGAATAATTCTAGGAACAAGTTCATAAGGCCTTTTTGTTCCTTTGAATCATTCTTTGAAGGAAGTATTTTGTCCGGTGACAAATTCACTTCTTCATGACTTTCACCTGTAATTTTTTTTTTTTGTCTTCTGCGCTAGCTCCATTCTTTTTGCTTCATCAGCTGAGTGTGTCCATGTTTTAGTCTAAGTCATCTGAAAATAATGAATTTCAAATAAAATGTGAAACAAAAATGACCTTTCCCTATTATGAAGCTTTGAAAATCAGTGAAATTCATGCTGGTGTATATTTTTTGCTTGATGTCGATAACTAATAAGTTTATGATATTCCAATTGAACTCCCATTGGACATTGCGAATATCTTGGCAGAGTATAGTTGGTACAAGGGAGAGTGAAGATTGAAATGGGAATGTGAGATCCAAGAAGAAATGGCTGACTCTATGATTAGTAAAGTGACATTTAGTGAATTCCTATTTAGTACCACAACTCTCAAAAAATACTGTACTGTCACCTACTGTGCTATTTTCTTCCGCATTAGTAATCCCAGTTCAATACACAGTATTTGGGAATCTTATTTTTCCCTCTTATTAATATGTTTTCTATTTTGTAAAGGAATAAAAAGTAGTACTTGCTTTCTAGAAGTCATGTTAGTTGTGTATCACATAATTACAAATTGGTCAACAATGGATTGCCTACATGTTGGTGGTCCTAAAAGATTGTTTGGCATAGTGCCACTGTAGCCACATTACTTTGCATAATTATTCTCTATGATGTCTGTGCAATCATAAAATTGCCAAACTATAAATTCCTTAGTTCATGTCCCTGTCATTGAGCAACAGATGAATGTATTAGATGCTTAGATGATAAAACAATACTGGCATTAATTAGAATAGAATCCAGCCCTCCGTACTGATATTTTATGGAGCTTCACAACCCATTTTAACCACTGGGAAAATGAATCTAAAATAGAAAAGTCAGTTTTAAATGAAATCAGCCCTTCCTGACATTGGAGGGTAGAAGGCTTCTGAATCAGATATCCATTGGCCCATGTAGTCATGAAGCTGTTCTCCTTACCTTGGTAGCCAAGGAGTGAGCTGCTCCTGCTTCCAAGAGGACTGATGCCACATCAACTTGGCCTTCCCTGGCAGAGATGTGCAGTGGTGTATATCCATTTGTAGTGGCTGCATCAGGATGAGCCATATGTTGTAGAAGCAACTGGACAATTTCTGTCTTACCCAGGCGGGAGGCAATATGCAAAGGTGTCTGTTCCTCCTACAACTCAAGTCAAGTGAAAATTAGTGCCAGGCTGACCAAGCTTCACTAATAATATATTTCACTTAGAAGTTTCTTGATGTCTTTCTGGAATCTGACATGAAGAGGAAACCATTGCTGCTCTGACCACACTTAATATGTTTTGCTATAGAAGTAACCTATTTGATCACAAAATCTATCGTAGCATTTAAAAAGTATACATTTCCATGAATTTGATATTATTTTGATATTTTTCTGGGTACTCTCAAATATTTGTCAACTCACAAAGGCTCGTTCTTCACTTTGTTTAAGTAACAACTAACTCTGGATTTTTAAGAAGAAAAACCTAGTCCAGAAATTCCAAGATCTAGACTCTTATCCAAGAGCTTTCACGTAGGGGTAGGATTTATTCTGGGAACTGTATCAAGAAAAAAAGATGAAGGGTGCTGGAAAATCTTTGTTCTTACTTTACTCAGCAAGCCAAGGATACAAAAGCTGCTCAATTTTTTTCCAAGGACAAACGGGGCATAAAGAAGATATTGTAATCTGGTATAAAAAGATGTTGATCCAGGAAACATTGCAGATGGGCCCGGTACTTGCATCCAGGACTTCAAAGATGAAATAGAACATTGGCAAGCAACAAATGAGTAAACTATTTGCCAAGTACATTTCATCTAAAAACAGGCAGAGGATGTAGCTGGGTATAAAGGGACAGGACAGATAAGTTCAAGAGGGCTCAAGAAAGCACTTGACTGTAATGTGTAGGTGGGAATAATGTTTTCAGTATTAAGAAAACCAGGCCAAACCAATTGTCTTGTAAAAAGAAAGTTGAGTGCAACCTTAAATATGAAAGAGCTACATCTTCATGATCTTTCCAGGACATGTCACAATAAAGAAGAAAAAGTTAGGCCAGATTTCAGAGCTAAGTATGAATGGAGAAAAGATAGAATAGAGATCTGTCCAAATAAGTGCAGTCTTTAAAGATTAAAAAACAAGACCAAAGGAAGAGATTAAGTGGCATTGCATGATTTCAGGATGATGGGATGTAACTGAAAAGTAATAGTATTCTATTTTGGTAGTGGAATTGGAATTGTATAAAAATTTGCAATCTAAAAAACTGCAATCTATATACCTCCTTCAAGCATGACCTTATCCTTAAAAGAAACCTAAAAGAAAGGCATACAATGAATTATTGAACCAGGAGCTTCTTCCTCATTTCCAACCTGGGCACAAAGACCCAAGCATCCAAGCCAGCCTCTGCTACTTTCCCAAGCCATAAACAGATAGCTGTATTGGAAGTGAAGCAACGAGGACACAAACTGCTTCTCCTTTGGGATGCTGGTGCTACAGGTGGAAGATAAGCCTGTTATACCATGGCTGCATCCCAGAGTTTTAAAGAAAATTTTTTGACTGTATATTCTATAGAAATGCATACAGACTAAAGTGATCATGAAAACTAACAGAACAAGGTGACTCTTAACATGAAAAAGATTGGCAACAGATTAGGAGATGAAAGTTTCTCTGAAAGATGGAGAAAAAAAGTACAGGAATTGGGAAAATGAATAGTTATAAAAATAGAAACAATAGGTAAAAATCAAGGAACTGGAGGACAAGGATGTGAACATCTGTGTTGCTGGATTTCCTTTCCCCAGCTGTGCCTAGAGGCAGGTGAAAGTGACACCCTAGGATGTGTTAGTCAATGAGTACTGGGAGAGTCATAGTGAATATGACCCATTGAAACCATAGCTAAGCAGTGGACATGCTTCACTGAGGGTGGCCTAAGCTTAGGTAAATTTTCAAGCACTCTTCCTTGTGTTTCAGACCATGAGGCATTTAACAAAAATGTTAAGAAAATTTTATTTATTTATTTTAAAGGAAGAGTGACAGAGAATGAGGAAGATTCAGGGAGCAGGGTAGAATATTTCATGCACTATTTTACTCCCTACATATCCAATAGAATAACCAAGGCAGGGCAGGTCAAAGCCAGGAAGCAAAAACACTGGGATCTTCCATGAAGGTGGCAGGAATCCAGAGACTTGGTCCTTTATTCATTGCTTCCTGTATACCTTAGCAGGAATCTGGTTTGGGAGTCCAGAGAAACAGGGACTCAAATCTGTACTCCAATACAGAATGTGTTCTACTCTGCTGTTTTTCAATGGCCAGTTCTGATATCTGGTTTGAGAAAAGAAACAGCTGTTGTACGTACTTTAATTCAATTTTTGGTGTGGCCGTGTCTCAAACTGCGAAAGGAAAGACCATGTGTATTTTTATGAGAACATCTCCCACTTTGTCAAGGACAGAAGACCTTTTCAGGTTATAGTAGCTGTTTCCCAGTTGAATTGAGCAAACTGAATCTGCTGCCCTAAGGCAAAGTTAACACAGAGACCTGGGAATGTGCTGAAGCAAAGACTTATGAGAAGAGGTAAGCAATGAGGAGTGTGGGGGGAGTCTGGCTCCCTAAAACCCTATACCAGGTAGTCCACGAGAATCACGATAGAAACATCACAATCTCCTATTTTATTGTGTTCCAACGAGACTTGGTGAGCCTTAACTCCTTTTACAAAGGAAGCAATACACAAAGGTTCATAGCTTTCATGAAACTTCTGCTATAAGTTACTAACAGGATATTCAATAACCAAGTCCTGGTTATACTTACATAGTGCTTTTGATTGCCTGGAAATATGTTATTGAATTGATATGACTTATAGTCCACAGCATTTGTCATCAAGGACTTGAAGACTCCTACATTCTCCTACAGATGGAATTCATGCATTACATTGAGGAGAACCCCAGTAACCAGCACCTACCCTGGCTCTGGCATCAACAAGGGCACCATTTCTCAGTAAGCATCGGACCACTTCCACCTGGCCTGCCCGGGCTGCCATGTGCAGTGCTGTCTCCCCACGCTGCCAAGAAACAAAGAGTGTCCAATCATAAATAAACCCACTGTTCTGGATGAGAAAGAACACAGATGTCCCTTTTTGAGAAAATCAGCATTATATCCAAGGATTTAAGAAGTCAAAAAGGCATAATTATTTAGTATGGCTAATACAATTCTATATCTTATCCATCTTCTTACAGATAAGACAAACATATCTTTCATTTTGATCAATCCAGGAGAAACTATTAAACTTACCCAAATATCCAGGAGACCCTGAGGTATAACTTGGCAATGCGCTTTGCATAACTTAGACTTATTCTGGTTGAGAAATCCTCTTATCCTGTCATCCTAAAATCTTTCATTTAACTATGTGATCCCAATTTGGACTCCTTTTGGTGAGAAAGTCTAAGAGCTGAAGATCAAATCAATACATGGCAAAATACCACATTACGTACCACAGATAATTTCTTCTCAAAAATATTGTCTGAAATAAACTACTATTTTACATCTGATTTTTTGTCATGAGACTAGACAATGACTAATCATATAAGAATTTGATTTGCAAAGGAGGTCACCTACTTCACATTAACGAGCATACTGAATTATATGCAGTTACTGGAGACAGTCATTGAGAATTGAGTTAAGTAATTGTTAACAGCGCCATCTGGTGAGGTGAGCAGCACTGGGTACCAACATCATTCCCAAGGCATCTTTTTGCTACATCAACGTATGGAAGGGGGCTTAAGCTGCAGCATGAAAGGTGAGGGTTAGAAATCAGACGTTCTCAATTGAAAGCCTGTTGTAACTGTCTCAAGAGAAGAGGATTTTAAACATCGGCGTATTTTAAACACATATGCAATTCTGAAGAAGACAAAAGCTCCTCTTGTGAAGGAGTTTAAGGTTAGAATAAGACACTAGAGTAAAAATTACAGATTAAATCATCACAACTACTTTAGAAAACCAAGTTGATTTCCGCCAAGTAAAGTAAGCCATTCTAAATAAACTAAATTGACCTTCAAGTTGGCTGTGGGATTGGATATTTCTTAGAGATGTCAGTGAATGTTTTTCACTTCCTTGCAGAGTAAAGCCTAAATGTGGAGTTTCAGGTGAACTTAAGTTTGGTGTATAATTTATAGTTAATTTCAGTATTGACAGATCCATTCCCTTTGAAATGATAAAAAATTTATGTGAAATTATTTCCTTGTGGGAGTGTTAAATTAGAGATCCAATTCTCTTTGTTGATGTTTCATCTATTCTCTAAAGGCTTTAGGCTTTGAGGACAGATTTTAGTTTTTATAAAGTAAATGTATGAGGATTTATAAGAAATGAGATTAAGATCTTCCAACTCATGTTTTAAAAGAACAACTCAAATGTTTACTTCTTGGTCTGGTAAAAGGTTACCAACCTTATTAATTAATTTTGATTTAAATAAAGGCAAAGATTAATTTCATTGTGAAAGTTAAGTCCAAGAAAGGCAGGAGTTCCTACTACATTGGATGTACATGTTTATTTTATAAGCCAGTCTTTATCAATAAAGATTTCAAAAATCTAGAAATGTGTTTAATATTAGTCTTACTACTTGCATAACTCTTCTTTTATACCTAAAATAAGTTATGATATGGTTTTCATACAATTGAAATAGATAGCTTGGATATGTACCTAGACTACTAAACTTCATATTCAAAGGAAACTTAATTAGGTACACATACATGGTCTTTCCACATTGTAACAATGCTCTTCTGTAATTGTTTAATGACTCTTATGTAATAATCTTGTATTCAAATTGCCCTTTTCCTTTTACATTTACATCAGCATTAATATAAATAAAAAAAGAAGTATCTATTGTTTTCATCAATAACTTCCCTGTTTTATTATTAGGCCCCTCTAAGTTCTAGAATTGCTTGGTTTTCTTTTCCCATGGATGACAATGAATACTTTGGAATATGGGTCTGGAGTAAATGGAAATTGAACTTTCTAGATTTCAAAGCACATTTATAAATGCTATTGGAGAAGAAGTTTTTCAGTACCATCTCCTATACATGATTGAATTGTTGATACACCTCATACTTGGAGAGAATTTTCAGACAAAACAAGACTGGCAAGAGAATGAGTGTGCTCGCACCCAAAGCAGCTACTGAATTTCATGCCCCTTACAAAGTTGGTTAAAACTGGCTGAGGACAGCTGAATTGACTTCCACCTTGGCCACATCAGGTTGGAAAGCATCAAAGCACAACAGACAGCATTGCATTCAAAAATGCAGCATGATGTCGGGCAACACACAAAGGCTTTAAGGGGTAGGTTGCTTTGGAGTCAGCACATGATCAATTGTGACACAGCAAGCAGGCAATTGGTGATCACACAGCTTCTTGATCAACTTGCAAAGACTGTTAGATCCCATAGCTACGGCTTCCTGTATGAGAGTATGCAAGTTTTCAGGCAACTCACTACTAGAGAAAGTTAAATTCCTCTAAATGTAGGATTGCCAGATTCATCAAACAAAAATAGGAGATGGCCAGTTGCATTTTAATTCCAGACAAACAACCAACAACTATTTTAGCATGTTTCAATTAATTGCATGACACATACTTTAAAAAAAAATCATTGTTTATTTCAAGTTCAAATTCAGTTGGATGAAAGGGACCTGCATTTTATCTGGCAGTCCTATCCATGAGTAGGTATGTGCACCCTGAAGGACATATCTTACAAAAATTGAGAACAAGCAAAAAATAATTAGGAAACCTGTCGGGAATGGGAGTACGTTGACAGGTGCTTCTCAAGTATTTTTTGAGGGAGCTAGAGGAAAAGAGTATGTAACTGACAAATGAACAAATAAAAGGAAGAAATTTAGAATAAGCAAAAGTCGGAAGTTAAAGTTACCCCAATTACCAGATTGGGGAGTTTTTAAGATGCTAAAAAGGATGCAACAATTTTTGTTGCTTCGATTTCCATTTCACTTGTTTTAATTGAAAATATACAGATAGCTTTTATATTTTGCTTCTTTGCAAAGATATTGTACCCTTTAGCCATTAAAACATTAGGAACTAATCAGGTCAGGAGCAAACTGAGAATAGCCACAGAATTCCACAACCATTTTATGTGGATTATTCTTTAAAGAATGTGCAGAAAGTCTAACCTAGAGGATTGCAATCAAGGACTGTGTCAAATATATTTGCATGCATTTTTATAGTAGAATTATATACTTTACCATAGTATTACAATTGTTCCTATAAGGCACTGGGATGTAAATGGGAAAATATAGTAGCGTAGGTCATTGTTTAAGGCATTTTCTTATTTGACCTGTATGTCTGCTCAAGTGTTGATTCCAAAAGGGAAAATGGATACTACTTTGGAAAAAGATGGTAATTCCTTTCAATGCCTAAACATGACCAGAAACTATACATAATGCAATATTCAAAAATAAAATATATATTACTTTAAGACCAAAAACTGTTATTAGGCAATATATATGTGAGTGTGTCATCTACAAATAAGTGTTTAAAGACTTTAAATTCTCTAATGGTTTTATGTTCCAATTGTTGAATAATATAAAAAGAAGTATTAAATGGGATTTGAAAATCCAATCCAGCTTTTCCACTATAGATATTGTCTGAGCTCAAAAACTTCAGCATAGGAACTATGTGTAAAATATAGAAAGATGATAATATAAGAGGAAACACAATTAAAAAGTGAAAATGTACATCTTATTTCAAAACTAAATGGATAAAGATTCTAAAATTAGCAACAGTAGTCCATCAATTGCTTTAGAAAATGTGATTCATCTTTAATAGTAAAGCCCTAATCTTTCTCTGAGAAAAGGTAATGCTATTGTATATGGTGTTGAAAATCTTATTATTCAAATCATCCCTTCTTGAGCTTCAGATACATGACAGGTCTCAGGCACAGGGGTTCTCTTGCTTAGGGAAAGCCTGCATGAGATGGTGTGTCATAGTGCAATAGCCAAACATGGTTTAAAAGGACAGGCGCCAAGAAATGGAGAGAAATATACAGAAATTAAAAGTAAAAGTTCCACTTTACATTAGGTTAAAAAATTCTTGGAAATCCAGTGCTTGTTGCTGGGATAAAAGCTGTCTGGAGAGTCATACCCATTTCAGGATGTAGATATAACCACTTTAGGTAAAAGAGGCTGCCTCTCTAGCTAGAAAAAAATCAAATCAAGCTTAAAATTCCAAGTAGGGTTAGAAAACGGAAACCTCAAGCAAGTGAAAAGAAGGAAAATTTGGTATCAAGTAAAAATTCCTAATATTGACCTATCTCTAGTTAATCTAGTTAATGCACAATCTAGTTAATGCATAATCTAGTTAAAGTTGTTTCATTTCACAGCTTCTGTTTGTTTCCTAACACATCTCTCCCTCTTTTTTAGTGAAGTTGTAGCCATCCTTTCAAGTGCAATGTTCTCCCGAGGACACTTCTCAAAGCTTGCTTGCTAACTTTGATGACATACACACCAACATACCTACACACAACCACACTTGGTGCCTCTCACTCTGTCCCTGCGGTTATTCTGACCCAAGCCATACTCACAATGTTAGTGACATCTGGAGAGGCTCCGTTCTGCAGCAGAAGGAGGACAATGTTCAAGTGGCCCATGAAGGCAGCCACATGTATTGGTGTGAGGCCAGACTGTGAAACAAAGCAACAGCAGTTTTACTCCTCTGCACTGGTAGGGCTTTGGGGCTTCTTCAGATCAGGAAAACTCAAGTGAAGAGGACAGGAGGTGGACAACAGAAAGGAGAGGAATGAGTAAGAGAAGAATTGTTTTGTGACAAGCTGAAACATGTTCTACCTCTGTTATAGCTTGGATTGAAGCCCCATATTTCACCAGCAGTTCCATGACTTTGATGCGGTTTTTCTTGCAGGCAATGTGCAGTGGAGTAAAACCATTCTGTGCAAAAGACAATCGAGTTAGTTGAAGACATGCAGTAACAATTCTCACACAACTCCATGCTGGCACATTGCAGGCATTACATCTTCACAGCGTGGTACCATTTTTTCAAACCCTGGAGGTGTTTGGGAAGGGTAATTGTGTTCTGTAGGCAACCTGCTTTGCTTCCTTGTGATGTTGTTTGTGTGATTACAGAGAAAACAAAAGTGAAGGCAGCATATGGCCTGCCTCATCAAAGAAGGAAAAATAGAGAAGGGAGTTTCTACCTCACAAATTTTAGATGCTCTAAAGGATACTGACTGGTCAGGTACCGTGATGTAAAGATGCACTGGGTATGTGTATTTTTCTGATGCAGGCCCATTTCTCAGAGTGTGTTTACTGAATTTACTTAAACAATGGAAAAGTATAACAACCTCCGTGATAAATTCTTCATATTTGCTACCATTTTCTTTAGAGGGGAGGTAGGTTTTAAAGGAAGTCCTTATTTATGTTGATAAATATTTATACCCAGAGTTACATTTTCATATTAATTTTTTTACTATACACACTGGATATCTTTTTTTAGATAAAGAAATTATATAAGTGTCACAATATTTTCAAGAAAAATAAAAAGAATTTCTAGGATAACTTGAAGCAGATCATTCCTGTAGGCATAGGAATATGGCAAAGAAGTTTATAAGATTTCCTCTAATTTTTCAAAACTAGCTTTATTCAGTAGAAATGCAGAAATTATGAAAAGAGTATTAACTAGTTCATGCTTATTTACTATATTTGTCATCTTTTTATTTGAAAATGTCCCTTTGTTTAGTTATAGTTATTCTGCCATGAATGCCTTTGTATTGTCCCAAAGGAGACTGATCATCAGTTAATATTTTTATATACTAGCTGTTATCTGGAAGCATATAATGCTAATAAAGCTGGTGATTTATTATTCACAATGGAAAGATAAACATAAATGATTTCTTAAGTCATTTCACCTATTTATAAGCAATCTAGGAAGCTAAACATAAATAGCCACATGTCCATATTGCCCTTAAAATTTTCATTAGAATGTGATATTTTATTAGCTAATTAGCCATAATTCAGGTGAATGTGCAATAAGGAGTCTGCAACTTCTTATGAGAAAATGAGTTTCCTCCCACAATTGTATGCAATGCTAAAAGGATATTTGCTCTCCAGGTAACTGTAAAGTTTGTTCCAATGCAAAATTTCTAATAGAGATCGTATAAAATAAACAATGAGTGCAATGCATTAAGTGCTAATTGTCTGGAGATGAATTTTGATGGACATATGCCATTTAGAAAAAGAGATTTTTTTTTAGTTTGAGAATTAGAAACCAAGAGACATAAATTAGTACATGCCCAATACTTCCAGTGATTATGGTTAGGATATAAGTGAAGCAAAGGGAATGTATTCATTATTAGGTCTTGGGAGACACAGCAGCTGCATTGGAAACAGCCTCTTTTAGTTTTCCCTTTGGCAGTTCCTGGAATGGTTTATTTACAAGACTTCCTGACACAATAATTCACTAGCCACCCTCTTATATTGCCAATGGTTGCGTAGTCAGGTCAATAAAGAAAATCTGTGAACTCTTTATAAGCTTACATTTTATACTATTTTATATAGCTAAATATATTTACCATTTCAAGACCAATCTTCTCCCAAAAAGAGACTAATAAAATGAAATTTGTTATATTTGCATTTTGACACTCTGTAGAGGTATCTAAAATTTTTCTAATTTCCTATTTCTCAACTTCTGTTTTTTATTTAGAATTGTTTATCACTTGCCATATCTACCAATTTGCAACTTGCACATTTCAGAAATGTCACCTTGCTGTTTTCTTAAACCTATCCTTGCTCACCATTATTTAATAGCAAACAAGGAAGGCATGAAGTAGGCAGACAACCAACTTGGCAGGGTGATAAATTTAGCATTTGCAGGATTAACTGGTCTCAATCTGTATTCAGTGAATGTGGACTGGGCCAGGTTTACCAGGGCTCTGGCGTTAGGATTGGCTCTCTTGTCCAGAAGGAGTTTGGTTACACGGTAGTGGCCACAATGTGCAGCAACATGGAGGGCTGTCAGGTAGTCTAGGGTGACGTCATCCACTGGTGCCTTGTGTTGCAATAAGTGCTTCACACACTCCACGTGGTCTCCTTGTGCAGCCATATGAAGTGGAGACAGTCCATTCTGTACATCAAAACAAAAGAATATCAAGTCCATATTTTGCTGATGACTTTCAGATTTCTAAAATAGAGCAATATTAGATCTTGATCTTGGAAAAAAACTCACATAAGGAAAAGTAATTTCCTTTAGATATCTGAACATATAACACATTACATATGGAAGAAAGGGAAGCTAAGGCAATATACAATTTAAAAATTTTGCTCCTTATGCAAAACATTAATATGTGACTTCAATGAATGAAGACATGCTGCATGTATGAATTCAGCTTTTATTTATCAATATTAGGACAATACTGGATATGTAAATATAAATGATAGCTAATCCTTAAATTATTTCTGCTGCTAGACATTTCACCTATTGGCAAAGGAGCCAATCAGGATATCCACATCCAATACTGGGGTGCTTTGGTTTAGTCCCAGCTCCAACTCCTGATTCTAGCTTCCTCCAAAGGAGACCCTGGGAGACAGGTGATGATGGCCTAAATGGATGGGTCCTGGCCATCCATGTGGGAGACTTAGTGAGTTCCCATTGCTTCACTATGATCTGTCTCCAATCTCAGCTCTTGCTGACTTTGGGAAGTGAACAAGCCTATGGGGAATTCTCTATTTTTCACATCTGCATGCGCCTCTGTTTACATCTCTTAAAAAACAAAAAGGAGAAATAAATATTTCTGACTAATTCCATTTATAGAAGTCAACATCCTATTAAATCCATGTGTTTAAATTTCTTTAATTAGAAATACAGGAGATGTCGGGGAAAATGATTCAAGGGAATGTTTGGGGAGTTTATCAATTTTGATTCAATTATCTCTGAGGACCATACTGCTGTGAAATTCTGTGATTCTTTACCCCCACAATATTATGAGACTTAATTTGGATACAGAAAGCTGAATGCTAGAAGAGTGAAAAGCAATATAGACCATAACTTAAAAAATTCACAGCTTCTAAACTTGAGCATGAGCTGAACTTTTTATCACTGATGCTGCTCAAAATTGCTTGAGCTTTAATTTTAAAGAGTGGTTAAAAAAGGAAAGTAAGATACCAGACAAGGCACTCCTCATGATCAACTACCTAAAACTAAGTAAATTAACATAGAGGAAATAATGTAACAATGCACAAAATTTGGAAAAGCACTAAATGATAAAAACATCTGCCATTAAAGAGATGGGATTAGTCTTTTCTTAATAACTACTGCAAAAATGGTAAATATTGATCAAGTTTGGCAATTATTTCATCCCAAGAAGCAGACACTGTGTCTGGATGAGGTGACAAAACAATGGACCACCATCAGCATTCTCAAGAAAGTGGGCAATTTCTGCTGTGAGGAGCAGCCCAAACCAAATACACATATTAAAATCTTAATTATGATAGCTTATGCATGGCAAAGTACATATGTCCTAACAATATATTCTTCTTTGTTTCTGATATCTTCTTTCATAATTATTGCTTTTATATTGAAGACCCCATGAAATAAGCTTAGGAGTGAGTGTCACGTGATTGACCAGGAAAGTTTATGTGAATGGGATCATAAATGTATGCAGAAGCTTAAGCCAATTACTTTCAGGGTTAATATGTATGGGTGGTTATTTGATCCTGTCATTTTAGGAATGGGTGGTTCATTTATTTAGTCTTCTGTTGTCATTTTACTGGAATGTTTTTCACATTTGCCTTTGGTTTTGTTGGGTGTTATTCCTCTTCTCTGTCAAGAGAACATCTTGAAGTATCATTTGTAGGTCAGGTTGGGAAGAGGCAAAGTCTTTTCTTTACTGTGGAGGAATTTTATTTCATTTTCAAAGAAAAAAGAAAGCTTTGCTGGATATGTTATCCTAAGCCGACAATTTTTTTTTCTTTTAGAATCTAGAATATGTCACTCTATTCTCTTCTTGCCTGTAGAGTTTCCTGTGAGAGATCTCCTGTGAGTTTAATTGGCATTCCTTAAATGTCAGTTGATTTTTTTCACGTGCACATTTAAAGATCTTTTCCTTAGGTTCAATTTTGTTTTGTGGCTTTTCATTTAAGAGGATGTATAGTAGCTGTGTAATGGAGACTGTCATATCTAGTAGCATGTTATTTAACTTCATGGCATTGTCAGTTTCTATTTTTTCTCCCTATTGTTGATTTAGTATTGTGGCTTTTCATTTAAGACAATGTGCAGTAACTGTGAAATGGAGACTAACATATCCAGATGTGAGGAGGCAATGTAATATGCATTTCTCCTTCCAGACAAAGATGGAACTGAAACTGTTTACTGTATCTTGACAATAGGATGCTGGACTCTCTGCCATTGTCCATGCCTGCAATGATGGACATATGACTGTGTATGAATAACTTTAGTAATGACGTAAAGGAACTAGATGGGTGGGGGAAAATTGGGGAGGGGATAAGGGAAATCCCAATAGCCTCTTTAACTGCATCATAAAATGATAATAATAATAATAATAAATTAAAAAAACAAATGTGCATAGAGAAGGTGATCTGGATAAAGATTTGGGTAAGAGGACTGGTAGTAGTGATTCAGAAAAAGAGCATTTGAGGTGGAAAGTAACGAATATTTTGCATTGAGAGAACACCAGGAATGACCAATGTCTATAAACAGTAAGGAAGAGAATGTGGCAAAAAATGAATGAGTGAGGAGAGTATATAAGGAGAGGAATTCACAGAGGCAAGGGATCCTACGGTATCATAGCAGGGGCTTTGACCTTCAGGCACAGATAGGGTGTCGTGAGAGGGTCTAGAGCAACAGTATTACTCTAGCTGTGTTGAAAACAGACTAGACTAAAGGGAAAAGAAGAAACGTGAATTAAGGGCCTTTTAAAGTCATTCATTAAAGTAGGATTGATGGTGACCTGAACTAATGTAGTGGTAATAAGATTGCTCGGTGGCTGCTGACATGGGTGTATTTTGAAGAACTTCATGAAGATTTTGTTGAAGAGAGAGGCAGAGGAATCCAGTATTATCTGAATATTTGATCTGAGAGACTGAAAGAAGAGTAGCTCCATGAGTTGAAGCACAATGGTAGGCACTAATTGAGACACAGTAGGATTAAGTTGGAATGCTCAGGAAAATCCGCAGAGCATGGTGACAGCAGCACAGAGAATTCCAGAGACACACAGTTGTGTGTCATCAGTTTACAGACATTTTTAAAAGATAGAACCACATGACATTTCATAATGAGTAGAGCCAGTCAAAGAAATGGCACAAAGCCCGATGTTAAGATGTCTTAACATTCAAAGCCCTGGGGCATGATGATGGACTAGTAAACTTAGTAGTAGGAGAAAGGAAAGCAAAAAAGAAATTCAGAGGAATATGCAATGCCTCAGGAGGCAAATAGGAAAGTATTTAAGAAGTAAAAAGTAAGCACCTGTGCCAGAAGAATATAGCAGGAGAAAAAAAAAAGACTGTATGGCTGTGATTTGTGGAACTGGATAAATATGAAGGTGGGAGCCGATGGAAATTCTGCTCAGTGTGCTTCAGTTTTCAGAGTGAAAAAACGGAAACAGGCTCAGAGGACTGAAGAAGAGTTAGAAAATAATCATAGAGTGAGCAATGACAAATGGAGTTGTGTGATTTTCAGGTGGCATTACAAACTGACTTGATGTTAGTGATTATGTATTGAAAGTGATCCAGTCAGTGTGGCTGGATGTTTTGTGTTTGTTTTATAGCTACATTCAGGTACATGAATGTGAGTTGAATTCGATCACAATGATTAAGACTATCTAAGATTGATATTAATGACTGCATCATTTATGCTGGGGACAAGTGAGAACATAGGGAAATTTCTGAAATGGAGAGTCTACAAATAGTAATTTTAAACCACAGGAAGTGAGGAGGAGTTGGGAACGCAGGGAGGTGAGAAATGGAATTACAGAGGGTTTATAGTTCAGGAGCTGAGAAGCCAGCAAGAATCATCTACTCAGGTCTTAAGCTGTTCTTTCCCTCCTCCTTGAAGGACATCACCTTATTCCAACTTGATCACTTCTCTGCATTCCTTATCCAGCACATAACCCTCCCCACCTTTTTAAATTTTTATTATCCTTGTCTATCTTCTCCACTAAATTCTGAGCTCTTTGCAGATATAGATTCTCATTCCTAATACACCATACACTGAATAAACAGACATGCCTGGTTCATATTTTGATTCCAAGAAGAATCAACAAGTGACTTCAGGAATCCTTTGGATTCCATCCTGGCAACATGACTCACCTTTGTCCTTGCCAGCAAGGGAGCACCCCGTTCCAACAGAAGTTCCACCACTTGGTCATGCCCACTCCGTGCAGCACAGTGAAGTGGTGTCAACCCATCCTGCCAAAAGAAGTAAGGAATTAGGCCTGAGCTCATTTTTAAACACCCAAGTTACATCCATTATTGACTAAACAAGGCACTCTCTGAATTAATCCACATAACTGACTAGATCAGTTATAGATTTGTAATTTGTTAAACAACAGGAAAGGAAAAAAGGTGAGAGAGAAACACAAGAGGGAGGATGGGAGGAAACAAGAAGGAAAAAGAAAGACATAACCAAAGCAAAGAGAACAATGGTGCTCCCACAGGTATTGAGGAAGATGGAAAAGGAGAATAAATTAAAGTTATTGAATTTGAAAACCTGAAGTACTTGCAACCACAGCTTGGGAATATATTCACTTGTTCTGTTTTCATTTTCATTATCCTAGCAATATTTTCCTTATGATCCTCTCTTTTTAATCTGTTCTATTCCAACGATGTCCTCTCTTGAATAGTTACTACTCAGTTTTCCTAAAATGATCCCTCATCCTTGCAAAGGGGAAAGCTACTTTTGGATTATTTAAAGTGTTCCAGGTGGCCACTGTTGTGGCACAGAGTTAAACCACCACTAATGACACTGGCATTCCCTAATAGGAGGGCTGGTTGGAATTTTAGCTACTTTGCTTCCGATCCAGCTCCATACTGATGCCCCTGAAAAGGTAAAGGAAGATGGTCCAGGTACTTGGTTCCCTGCCAGCCATGTCACATTTTGTTAGAGTTCCAGGATCCTGGCATTAGCCTCCCCAGCTCCAGCTACAGCAGCTATATGGGTAGTAGACTAGCGATTGGAAGATCTCTTTCACATTCCACCTGAATGTTTCATCCTTTCTCCTGTCCCTGTCTCTCAAATAATTAAACATATCTTTAAAAGAATCAAGTTGATTAAAACAGATTTTCATGTAATAGTTTTAGCATTTAAAAAATTATGTGGGCCCGGTGCGTTGGCGCAAGTGGTTAAGGTCCTCGCCTTGCACACCCCGGGATCCCATATGGGCGCCGGTTCTATCCCAGCAGCCCCACTTCCCTTCCAGCTCCCTGCCTGTGGCCTGGGAAAGCAGTCAAGGACGGCCCAAAGCTTTGGGACTCTGCACCCGCGTGGGAGACCCAGAAGAGGCTCCTGGCTTCGGATCAGCATAGTATCGGCCGTTGTGCTCACTTGGGGAATGAATCATCGGATGGAAGATCTTCCTCTCTGTCTCTCCTCTCTGTATATCCGCCTTTCCAATAAAAAAATAATAAAAATAAATCTTTCAAAAAATTATGTGGTTATTTCCCAAAGACAAATTTAATATCAGTAAATAAAACAAAAATCATATTTAATAAAACAAGGTATTGTATTCTGTCCTATTTATAAAACTGACTTCTGAGACAGGGTGTGCATTCGGCTTTTCAAGAAAAGTACTACTTGGGCTGCCTGCATCCCATATCAGAATGCCTGCCTACAAGTCCTAGCTCCATCCCTAACCCCAAATCTCCCTGCCTCATGTACCAACTTTCTACTAGTGTGCACCCTAGGAAGGACTAGGTGGTAGCTCAGGTGAATGTATCCTTGCTATCCACATGAGACATCTGAAGGGAGTTCTGGGCTCTTGGCCTCAGCCTGGCCCTACCCCAGCTCTTGTGTGAATATTTGAGAGTAAACCAGAGGGCAGGAGATTATTCTGTATATATGTGTGTTTACACATATGTCTATCTCAATTTTTTTGGTCACAAATACATTTTATAAATGTAAATATGTTATATATGTATATATTGATGTTGGAGTAATCCTCAAAGACTCTCTGCCTTTTGTATTGTATTTTTCCTTAAGGTGGCATGGTGAAAAAGCTGGGGAGTGAGGCTGGAGAATTTGAGATGAAATACAAAGAACAATGGGCAAGAAATAGAGAAAATGAAATAAAATCCTGAGTACACATATTAACCAATAACTTGAGGCTTAAATTTAAAACTATTTTGCTATTCTGCAGGATTTGATAATTCCTAAATTATGTATCCTAGATTAGGTCACGTAGCTCCACAGCAACTTATTTTTCCCTTCTTACAGTCTCGTTCTCAGAACCACACCTCTCTGTTTTCTCAACAAGAAAATAATAATACTTTCTAAGTTGTTAGGAAAATGAAATAAGGTCTTTTCAGAGTGCTTAGTAGGGTTCCTTGAACATCCACATGAATATGTCAATTGATAGTTATTTTTGCTATTATTTTAATTATTACTTTAATAAAAAAAAACAGCAAGGGTGTTCCTTTTATCTGACATGTTGCTTTCAGTTCATTACCCTTTAATGTTTTTATATACTTACAATGTTTGCATTGAAATATGTATTTTCATTTCTTGAAGCATAATCCTTAGATGGGCTATCTCACCATTTAAATAATAAATAGTTTTAAGAAAGAAATAACAACCTTAATATAGTCTGAATTAATAATTTCATCCTAACCTACTATAAAATTTGTGTTTTAACATTAAAAGGGCAATTTTTAGATACTAGAAAATGGCTCTGATAAAAATGTTTCAGGTTTACACCAGATTCTAGTCAACCAGCAAGATGAAAAATGCCTCAATTATTGTCAAAGTGAAAGTGGGTGAGAAAGTTTGAGTAAGATTTGTTTTTAATTATCTGAAAATCTCTAAAGAGTTTCTTCTCCAGATGATGAAAATCTTGTTAGAACAATGGGAAGCTCAAGTAAACATTCTTGCCAGAACATACTAAATTCAGAATGTTCGTTTGTTAATCTGATTGCTAGGGGAAATGGAAACTGTATTTAAAAAATGAAAGAATTATTTATTTATTAAATCCTGTAACTAGCAGGTCTATTATCTAAATTGATTGTCAAAACAAAGGCAAAACCTTTGCATTTGTAAATATGATTTCAATGAGCAAAAGAATAAATAAACCACATTTATCTTAGGAAATCAAATATCATAGTTTCAGAACTCGGACCACTCAGTTCCAGGCTAAGGTCCTCGATTCGACTATTTTGCTCCAATATAATGTTGTATTTGGTGAAGGGATTTAACTATTTTAACTATAGCTAGCACAGAACAAATCTAAAAATGCTTTTACAACCTTACTAAGAGATTAGGAAGTGTTTCAACCCAAAGGGGAAAAATATTCACCATATAATATTAAACTTGACCCTGGAGTTGGTAGAGCCAGTTCTTTTGACTGAGACAAAACCAATTTCTGCACATTTCTTTTCAATTATGCATTTAGTGATACCACAATAGTAGCTTTGACTTGATCATAACGAAAGTATTCGCACTTCAGAGATTAGCAAAGAAGTTCTGCTTTGCTTTATTTTAGACTTTGCGGTTAAAGTTTTACCCACACACTCCTCACTCAGTCCCTTCAATGCTGTTAGCTTGCCCCTCTGTAGAACCAGAAGACCTATTCTGCCTTGCTAACCATTGCACCTTCAGAGTTTATGTGATCAAATAGGAACTCAATAACTATTTGCTTAAAAAAATGAGAAAAATGCACACACATCGAGTACAATTAGAATATATATTTTCTCTTTTAAATCTTTGAATGAAATTCTACTTATTTGCTATATCTGAAGGCTACAGTGGGTGAAGTATAAATCAAACATTCCCTTCCCAGAAGAAAGCAAAATTTGGATTTGATTGTGAACGATTGGTTAATGACAGAAATAATATCAGATGATATACTCTGGTACTGCTTTTTATGAAAATGCATTAATAGCTTTGAATTAGACTTTTTAATTAGGAATGTAATGTGAGTCATGTAAATTGTTTCTTCCGGAAACTAAGATCATCATCATGGTGATCAATAAGAGGAAAAACAATTGCCTCAAGGGTGAATGGATATTCCCTAAAAATAAAAATAAAAGCTATATTGATCCTTAAGACATTAGTTACTTTTTTTTTATCTTCAGATACTATTATCACATTGGAAATAGGATCATTAGAGAATCTCACTGGAAACAGAAAAACTGCTACGAAGAGAGAAGTTATATTAGTAACATACTTTACCAATACAACATCATGCTAGCAATGACGTTAGCAACGCAGCCACAAGCAGAAACCCTAACTATCAGGATAAATAAGCAAAATATGCAATGAGATATATTCTGTTCCAAATTATGCACACTCACATAAAAGCAAGGAAAATGTTGCGCCAACACAGATGATGCAGAAACCATATAAAACTGTGGCGAAAACACTGAACACCACAAGATAACCTGACAGTAAAAGCAAGCAAAGCCAGATCTTCCACAAACAGCTTAGAGAGAGAGATGAAAGTATGGAAGCAATGTTTCATGAGGTCATTGAAATGAAAATGTATTGTTTGGACCAGTGCAAATCTTAGAAACTTAGAAATAAGGTTTATTAAAACCATTCGAGGGCCCAGCATGGTGGTCCAGAAACTAAAATCCTCTCCTTGAATGCTCCAGAATCTCATACAGGGGCTGGTTCTGATCCTGGCAGCCCTGCTTCCCATCCAGCTCCCTGCTTGTGGCCTGGGAAAGCTGTTGAGGAGGGCCCAAAGCTTTGGGACCCTGCACCTACATGGGAGACCCGGAAGAGGCTCCAGGCTCCTGGCTTCTGATGGGTGCAGTGCCAGCCATTGCAGTCACTTGGGAAGTGAATCAGCAGACAGAAGAGCTTCCTCTTTGTCTCGCCTCTTCATCTGACTTTCCAATAAAAATAAATAAATCCTTAAAAAACAAACAAAAAGCCCCAAACCAAAATTTAACCCTTAGTGCTTGTATTGTGAGAATTTGAAGTTTTACAGGCTCCGGTTCACGTCCTGACTGTTCCACTTCTGATCCAGCTCTCTCCTATGGCACACAAGAAAGCAGCAGAGGATTTTCCAAGTATTTGGGCCACTACACCCAAGTGGGAGACCTGGAAAAAGCTTCTGGTCCCTGGCTTGAGACTGGCTTAGATCTAGCCTTTGGATGAATTAACAGAGAGGAGATCTCATATTCTCTCTCTCTCTCTCCACCCTACTCTGCCTTCTAAATAAATAAGACTTTAAAAAAAGTAACATAAAGTCAGAGAACTAAACAAAGGGAAAATTACATACTATTAGGAAGACATGCTATCTGCAATCTTGCACAGACATATACTATCTACAATCTCAATCTTCCACAGGCTATGTACATCACATATTTCAATGTTTTTGTATCACAGGAATGTTTGAAGATTTGCAGAAGTTTGCAATTAACAAAATATAATCCAAAGGAGGCTGGTCCTGTGGTAGAGCACACAAAGCCACCACCTTCATTGCCAGCATTCCACAAGGGTGCTGGTTAGAATCCAGGCTGCTCCACTTCTGATCCAGCTCCATTGCTAATGTCCCTGGGAAAACAGCAGAGACGCAGAAGATGGCCAAGCTGCTTGGGTCTTTGCACCTACATCAAAGATTTGGAAGAAGCTCCTGGAACCTGGCTTTGAACTGTCTTATCTCTGGCTGTAGATACCATTTGTGGAGTGAACCAGTAAACAGAGGATCTCTCCCTTTGTCCTCTCTCTGTAACTCTGATTTTCCAATAAACAGACAATTTTAATAATAATAATAATAATATTAATACAGAAATATACAGAAAGAAGGAGCTACAAAGAGAAAGATCTTCTGGCCGCTGGTTCACTCCTCAAGAGACCACAACAGCCAGAGCTGAGTTGATCCAAAGTCAGGAGCCAGGAGCTTTTTCCAGGTTTCCCATGTAGTTGTTCGGTCTCAAGGATTTGGGCCATCCTCAATGCTTTACCAGGACACAGGCATGGGGACCTGATTAAGAAATGGAACAGCCGGGACACAAACTGACACCCAGCAAACGCAAGGTAAGTATTTTGCCACAAGGCTATCGTGCTGGGCTCAAATACACAAACCTTTAAATAAACTGAACTGTTAATTATACACTTAAACTGATTAATTATACACTTACACATTGATTTAAATATGTCAATAATATAAAAAAATCTTGGGGGTGAGGTGGAAGAGGAGGTGGAGGGAGAACTTCTATACTCACAAAACTGTATTGTGGAAAAAATCTAAAAAAAGAAAATCTATGAGCTGCTGTAAATTTACTCCATCTACCTTTTAAAAAAGAAGTAAGTAATACAGCTAAGAGCTAATTCACATCTAACATTGAAGTAGGTACTATTATAGGTCCAAGTTCAAAGAAGGTAAGTTAGTTGCCAACACAACATAGCTTGCTAAATGATAAAAGTAAAATTTCAAATCAGGCAGTTTGCATTCAGAGTTTACACCTTTGACCACATTATTTTCCTATTATCTATTCATTCAGAATACATTAAAACCTCGGAACAGTATCTATCAAGTTTGAAATGAATGAAGGATAGCACTTCTACCAAATGGGATGAATAAATATATAATATACCAAACCTCCGGCTAAGTTTCCATAATGTAACAACACATTTCCAGGCAAGTTCAGGGTACCATAAGCTTTCAAACAAAAACTGTGCTAGGAATCAAATAGTTAGAAACACACGATTTTTAAAAAGATTTATTTATTTTTATTGCGAAGTCAGATATACAAAGAGAAGGAGACACAGAGAGAAAGATCTTCCCTCTGATGGTTCACCCCCCAAGTGACCACAACAGCCGGTACTGCACCGATCTGAAGCCAGGAGCCAGGAGCTTTTCCTGGTCTCCCACATGGGTGCAGGGTCCCAAAGCTTTGGGCCATCCTCTACTGCTTTCCCAGGCCACAAGCAGAGAGCTGGATGGGAAGCTGGGCTGCCAGGATTACAACTGGTGCCCATATGGGATCCCGGTGCATTCAAGGCGAGGACTTTAGCTGCTAGGCCACCACACTGGGCTCAAAACACAAGATTTTTAACATGTATTTAAAATATTTTACATAAAAGCCATAATCTCATAACCTTGTAATACAATAAGTTTAGGTTTTTTATATTGCTAACAAATCAAGAGTGATGTACAAGTCCAATTTTAATCGTTGTCTCTAGAAAATCAGTAAGCACACATGTGAAAATCCATCAAATTATGTATTAGTATTTGGTTTGCCTGAGCACCCATGTTCAACTATTAATGTCACATTTAAGATTTGAAACTTCTAAATACTTCATGAGATTTAAATCTATTCAATCCAAAATTAGGAATTTACTTGAAAACACTGTCTATGATTACTCAATGTAGCTACTTCCTAAGAGGTTAAAAAGAATAACAATAGCAAGCAACTGAAAAAATACACTCACCCTAGTTTTGGCATCAATCTGACCACCTCGGTCCAACAGGAGCTTCACCATGTTTGTGTTTCCCCTCTTGGAAGCCACATGCAGAGGAGTGATTCCATTCTACAAGGAAAGACCAAACAGGAGCAGTCTGGGTGTGTGACAGGGCATGCTTACGAGTACAGAAGTGATTATGATCTATGCAGTAATCTGACCACATTTTTATGGTCTCAGTGTCCTTGAATTTTAAGGAACAAAGAACTATTCAAGGCCACAAAGCCTTATATAGCTAGAGAATGAAAAAAACAAGGAATGTAATTGCATAAATAAGTTAGTAACGCCAATTTATATATGGAGTGTCACGTCATAGTCAAGAGGCAAAGGAAGTGTTTTTGCACAACTCAAGCAAAATTTCAAAATCTAAGAGATAGTCCAAGCATTAAGTTTTTCTTTCTCTTACATCTATGCGCTTAAAAATCTAATATCTTCAGGTTTTCTGTGCTTAAAAGTAGGATATGAACAAACATAGTAATATTCAATGAAAAAGTGATGCTTAAAAACATCTTTAGTAAATAATTCAGTAATAAGAAAGAAAGCAGCCCAACATATTTTCAATAAAGATGATAAAGGGCAGAAACATTGTACGTACTAGTTATACCAATCTTATTTGCTATCGTATGTCATTATTGAGAAAAACATTTGCGATTTTTTATGTTGTTTAGGTACTCAAATATCACTCTGATTTACACTAAATACATTGATTTTTATCATTAGCATGTAAGTAATATTTCCCAATATGAACATACCATTAAACATATAACTCCCACATGATGTCTTGCATGCTACTTTTGTAAGATTCTTTAAATAGTCATATTTCTAATTCATTAAAGAGTCTCAGTCAAATTGTGTACCCTATAATCATCCTAAGACACACTACTACTTAAATATTTTGCATTTGATGTTTTAATGGTTATATTGTTTATCTACTTGAAATTGCACATTCATTTTTCTTGGCATGGTCTTGGGAAATAGCTTCAACAGGACGGCAGAATTAACAGTCTCCTTAACTATAGTTACTTGTGGGCCTGTGCGTTTACAACATTTCTTACTTTTCACTACCTGATAGGAAAAAGCACAGGGCCAGGAAAAGAAAAGAGAAATAAAAGCTCTAAGAAAACCCCTGAAACTCAATTTTATTTTATTAAAATATCCACATATAGTGATCCCCAGTAGGAAATTAGTTAAGTCCATACCCTGGCAGTGAAGTCCACAGCTGCTCCTCGGTTTAGAAGCAGAGTCGCCACATTGACATTGCCGTAGTGTGCAGCTATGTGCAAAGGGGTAAAACCACTCTACAGAGAAAAAGATGAGTCTCAGTCAAGCATTTCCATTCTGCATAGTTCACTAAGCCACATCACCTAGTAAAGTTCCACCTCATGCAGGTACTGCACAATTCAGATAATAGTGCCTTGATTAGAATGTAAATTTTAGTGTCATAAAGCAGAAAATAACTGATCATATACCAAGGCAAATAAATATCCTACACACTTGGCAACATTATTTTTAATTAACTTATCCATTCAATATATTTTTTGGTTTGCAGAAGTCATGTTTCTTGAGTAAGTTTAGTATATTAAAGAAAATCAAAATATAATTAAATAACATGAGATTCCACCCTTAGGATTAACCACACTAATATTACAAATGTTTTTAGGAAAAGATTAAAAGTTAGCTTTTTGTTTTATCTGTTTTATTTAAAACAAAAAAAGCACTGATTAATATCACATCTTACAAACCAGGAAAATATGTTGAAAAATTCTTATAGATTATTCTACACATTTTATAATCGTAAAATTTCTATCCTCTTTCATGACTTAGGACTTTGCCGTTACAAAAAAAAGGACTATAACCCCCAAATTAAACAAGGTACTTGTTATCAATATCAGTAAGAATATAAAATAAAGAAAATGTGCAACTTAATTCAATATTAATCAAATCAAATCTAAATAATAAAATAATACATGAGCAGATTAGATTAAATCATTTATATGATAAATCAAGAATTGTTACTCTCAAAATTTTTAAAAATGAATTTAAAATGTTTTAATGAAAACAGTATATTTCATTTATTTTTCTCATAGAAATTTTTACCATTTTTACAATAGAAATATATTAAATTTACTAAAGCTTGGGGTATTCAAAAAGCCCACTGGTACATTCCTTAATATTTTCAAAAGGCCAGGATTGTGCCAGGCTGGAGCCAGGCTGGAGTCAAGGGTCAGGAACTTAGCTCAGGACTCCTAAAAAGAAGGAAGAAATCCAACCATCCTGCCACCACTGTTGCCTCCCAAAATTTGCATGAGTAGGAAGCCAGAGCTGGGAGCTTAAGTCAGACACAGAACACAGACACTACAATGTGGGTACTGGAGTTTTAACTACTAAATAGAACATCTGCTCCAAGTGAACTTATTATCTAATTTAATTTTCCATGAACTTTATGCACCCTTAAGATTATCAAATAAGTCCCCTTGTTCTCCATACTTTTTATTACTTAATAAGAGATTATGGGGAAAAAGAATATCAATTGACTGTCACATCCTTTGATTTTCAGATTATTTTCTATTATTATTCTCTTATACTTGAAATTAATTATCATGTATATCAGATTGTATTTTTGGTTTTTTTTATTTAATTAATCACATATTGCATTATGTGACACAGTTTCATAGGCACAGATTGTTTTTTAAGGAATATTTTCTAGAGGGGCTGGAATGATAGCTCAACTAGTTGCTCCCCAGTCTGCAAGCGCCAGCATCCTATACGCCTGCCAGTTCGTGCCCAGCTGCTCGACTTCCACCCACTTCCTTGTTTATGGCCTGGGAAAGCAGCACAGCATGTCTCAAGGTATTTGGTCCCTACCCCCATGTGAGAGATCTGAAAGTAGCTCCTGGCTTTGGAATGCTCTTATCATTGTAGCCTTTAGCAAAGGAACCAATGGACATAATTTCTTCCTCTATTTCTTTCCTCTCTCCATAAATCTTTCTTTTTACAAAAAAAAAAAAAGATTTATTTATATTGGAAAGGCAGATCAGATGTACAGAGAGAAGAAGCGACAGAGAGACAGATCTTCTATTCACTGGTTCACTCCCCAAATGGCCACAATGGCAGGAGCTGAGTTAATTCGATATAGGAGCCAGAGCCAGGAGCTTCCTCCAGCGTGACTGCACACGCATAGGGTCCCAAGGCTTTAGGCCATCTTCTGCTGCTTTCTTAGGCCATAAGTAAGGAGCTGGATGGGAAGTATAGCAGCTGGGACATGACCCAGTGCCCACATGGGATTCTGGCAAATGCAAAGCAAGGACTGGCTACTAGGCTACCACACCGGGTGCAAGCTATTGTTATTTTGCATCTACATGCTACCAACCATTCATGTTGAAATGAAAGGAAGATGAGTCCATAAACTAGTAATTATTTTATAAAATCCCAAATTTTTATATTTTAGGAAATAATTAACTGATTTTTTTTTCATTTTCATCTTGAAATTTCCTGTCACCCAGACACAGCTTGAATCCATGTGTATTATTCAAGTAACAAATTTAATTTTAGGAAAACATGATTACTCCTGCTGAGTTATTTTCAAATCAAATATAGTAATATTATTTTTCATATTTGCAAACACAAATTAAATTATTGTCTGACAGCCTCATTGGTCATCTCAGATAATGCTTCCGTCTGCATGCCCTCTGTAAAGAATTGTCCCCTGGTTAACATGGAGGTGGGAGACAGGGGGAGGAACCTTCTTTACTACTCTTTTCTTGTCAAAGGAATATTTAATACTCATTAGTTTTCCACCCAAACTTCTGTTTTTATAATATGTGCAGCCAATAATATTTTCTTCCAAAATTATCTTAATCACTTAAGAACACCTACAGATTAAAAGTGTTAAAATGAATAATTAAGATCAATGATTATAATTTTAGTTAAGAAATTTCACAAAGCCCTTTTTTTCCCCTCTCTCTCTAACCTGGATTTCACGCACATATAAAGGGCAAAAGAAATACTATGAATAACATCTGGACATTGTAATAGGTAGATGAACTACTAAATAAGTGAGCAGCTTTAGAAACGTGATTCTTGCAAAAAAAACCTCCAGTGTGAATGTCCAAAGGTCCACAACTTGCCCAAGACCACAGCAGCCTGATCGAATGAGATGCAAGTTTAAAGAAAGCCTGGGCAAGCCAAGCATCCTACCTAATCACGGGCCTTTGAAGGTAGACTAAGTTTCTATTGCAGATTTTGAACAGTGTTTATATCAGTGCTTCCCTATAACAATCATCAAAGAGAAATTATGTGTTCACGTGCACGCACACACACAGACACACACACACACACACACACACACACACACACACACACACACACACGCCCTGCTGAGAGGCTTCTGAACTTAATGCTTTTCTGGATTGATGTGACCTACTTTAGTATGTGAAAAACAAATGATCTCATGAAAAGTACTTTAAGACTTAACAGAAAAAACAATAGCCTCGTTTATGCACACTAAATGCACTGATGCAATACAGCATGGTAAAGAAAAAATTCAGAAAGGAAAACAAAAGGGCAAGTATGATTAGATAAAAAGATAAAATATGGTGACACAAAAATCATCCTGTTTTTTTCTCCTAACTATATTCTGAGAATGCTGAGTAAGAAAATAAAATATCCTTTTGCAAAAAGTTCATTCATTGGAACATATATTAAGGAAAAATTTCATTTAAAACTAATACATTACATAATTTTATCAGTTAAATAACTTCAAATACATGTTACATCAAATGCATTTGAATTATCAAACATTTCTTAATTATGAAAAAAAATTCCACCTTAATTTCCCATTAATGGAATTTTAATCATTAGTATGAATTAGTGAGCATTCATTCTTATGGAATGGAAGCTAAAAATAAATTTTAAAAATAGAGGTAAACTTTGGCATAATCACAATACTGTACCTCGGTTGTCCTATTCACCATCATCTGAAGCAGTGTTGGGTGAGAAAAAGAGGGAACACAATTACAAAATTAAGGAAACAGCCAATATGTTCACAGCAGCTGGGTATGCTATTCCAACATGCAAAACGCAATCTACCAAGAAAAGAGGTCCCCAAACACTGCAGGAATCATTTTTGCTTTCTAATTCTTTTTCTTCTGACTATAAATAAAAGAAGGAAATAGATTTCTAAAATTTCGAACCCTGTTTTAAAAGCAGATTATCTTGAAATTTATTTATTTATTATTTGTTTATTTTTTGTTTACTGTACCCAATAGAAGTCCCCTTCTTTCTGAAATACCGCTGGAAAATCATTTATCTCTTTTCATAACCAGAAGTAAATTTGCATTATCACCAAGGCCTACTTCTTATTCATTGCCCGGGCGGCCTCTGGCTGCTGGAGAGCTGCTTCCCTCAGACGTGTTCAGCTTTTACCTTGGATTGCACGTCAGCATTGTGATCGTTCTGAAGCAGGAGTGCGGCAGATTTGGTGTCATCTTTCCTCGCTGCAATATGCAGGGCTGGCAGCCTGACTTTCCCCTTGGTGTCATTCTCCAATAGAATGGCCACCGCCTGGTTATGTCCTTGCTGGAGTGCCACAGCGAGAGGAGTAAAGCCATCCTGGAACACACGGAGCAAGAAAATCTGTTAGCTTTTGGATATTTGGAAATTCCTTCCATGTAATGACACCACTCATTTTTACAATAGTGAGCAAGAGAGTCAAAAGGGTAAAACATGATCTTGCAAATCAGAAGCACAATATATTTTCGGCATTTACAATACTGTACACAAATTTAAGCCAATTCGTTTCCTAATTTCTACTCTACACATTTTGAAAAACATCCTAATGAAACATATTACACGTAGTCAGTGCCTCAAATACATGCTTAAAATGAGAAAATAAAGATTAGGACCAATCCGAAGCATTGTCCACTAATGTTATGGAAACAAACACGAAGGCATAAAGCATGGAAACCAAACCTAAACAAAAAAACAAAGCAGCCAAGTCAGGGACATAAAATATACTTTTTCCAGGCAAAGTTCTAAACAGATTAGGAGATATAAAATCATGGTAGATAAAGTGATCCATCAACACTCAATTTTGGAAGTTTGGAGCAAATAATGGCCTAAAAAAAATCCCTGCAATATTATGCTAGCAATAAATTCTGTACATAATAGCCAACTTTTATATTGCTTAGATCATTTAGATATGAAATTACATGTGCTTGGTAATATGAAACCACCAACTTGTCAATTCTGAAATTAAGAAGGAGGTAAAATCACTGGGTAATGAAAAGAAGACTCTTAGGGTCAAATAGATAATCATAATAGCAAAGTTGGACATCCTTGCTTTAGTATTTTGTTTTAGTATTTTGTTCCCAGAAAGGTGACATGTGATTACAAGAGTATAAATGCTTATACACTCTAGATTCTAAGAAAAAACTTCTACTAATTTGAAAATATATAGAAACAAGTCTCACAACTAGAAATTTCTCTGCATAAAGAAATGATGACAAGATTTGAAGATTACTTTCTAGAGATAGTGGTAATGTATTGAAACAACTTTGCTTTCAACAACAGAAATTTTTAAAGGTAAATGTAGACTTTTAAGTAAAATTAATTTTCCTCAAGTTATTTGTGCTGTGACTGTACTACATGACTTTTTTTTCCTTTTCATAAGGTTAGAATTTTAAACAAATAACTGAATGAAACAGTAAAGCATGTATTTTTTAAAACAAAATTTAGCTTAAACTTATAAATTTGTTTAGCAGCAAATACTCTGTGAATGAGTGAAATATAGACTCATCATTTACCTATTTAATTTGTATTGCCCACAACATTGTGATAATTCATATTAAAAGTGTGCACCTTATTTAAAAAAAATATTTATATAAAGGAAACAAATTCCAAATATTTTACATACATAGTTTTAAGAGCTTAATAATATTTCTTGCTTTATACTCTCTCCCTTCTTCACTACCTCCATCTCTTTTGATTCTTTTCTTACTTTTTAAAAATGTCTACAATGGGGCCCAGCGTGATGGCGCAGTGGTTAAGTTCCTTGCCTTGCACACCCAGGATCCCATATGGGCGCCGGTTCTAATCCCGGCAGCCCCACTTCCGTTCCAGCTCCTTGCCTGTTGCCCAGGAACGCAGTGGAGGATGGCCCAAAGCTTTGGGATGCTGCACCCAAATGGGAGACCCAGAATAGGCTCCTGGCATTGGATTGGCTCAGCTCCAGCCATTGTGGCCGCCTGGGGAGTGAATCATCAGACAGAATTTCTTCCTCTCTGTCTCTCCTCTCTGTATATCTGACTTTCCAATAAAAATAAAATAAATCTTTAAAAAAATATGTCTACAATGATATACTTTAATTTACTTTATAATCACAAATATAAAAAAGCACTCCATTAAATAAAGACTTCAAGTAGTATGTAGAAGAAAAACCACTGTTCCTCAAGAGTATAGACAAGAACAATAACCAGTCATCAAATCTAAAAATGCTAACTTTGCTTACATATATCGCACGGTTTTTGTACTCTACATATTACCACAAATAAGGCAAAACAATTGTCTTTCAGGGACTGGCTTATTTCCCTAAGCGAAGTGGTCTCCAACAGCAACTATTTTGTTGCAAATGACAGCATTTTACCCTTTTGATGGCTGAGTAGTATTTGATTGTTAGTATTCCATTACACATCACAATTTTTTTTATTTAGCTATCACTTGATGGACATCTTGTGTTGATTGCATATCTTAGCCATTAAAAAATGTGTGCTTTGTGTTTTTTGCTTAGAGATGAGGAATTTGCTGGCAGAAAAGACCCTTACTTGAAAGTTTTAAACTCCAATTTTGGCAATATTATTCAAGAAGGAAGAAAAATAGATAAATAAAAAAATATAGAAATGGTAATGAAGAAACAAAGAAGTCCTTTCAGAAATGTAATTTTGGATGGCTTCCATGTGGATTTTCTTCTAATCTATAATTGATGCTAGAAGGCTGTATATTTGAAAGGACCTTATATATTTAAATTCTTATATACTTATATACTCAAGCACACTATAGTCAAATTTTGTTATATCACTTAATTAACTCTATGAACGTGAAACCCAAAATAAAGTTGAATACTTCATTTTCAATCATTAATTGACCAATGCCAATTACTATAGTTATAAGATATAACTTTAAATATATCTTCTCAGACATGATTCTTATTGCCATATTGCGTGATCCCATATGATCTAATTTTCAAGTGGGCAGAATGCCTTGATTAGTAATTAGCTGTTACAATTTAGGGAGACCAATCAGTTCAAGGTAGGACCGTTCTTATGATACATGCACATAAGTGTTCAAGAGATTACTAGAAGATATTGTAGCAATACAATCTAGACCATCAAATGACAATCAACTACATAGCACTGGAAATATGTTACTGTTACTATTATTATTTTTCAAAGTAGCACACTTAAAACACATGTGTACATATGCATTTCTTCATAACTCTTAAGGCCAGTGGTGAGGTTTTAATTAAGTCAATATACACTCAATTGGGGAAAATTAAACATAACTATTTAAATGATATTTAAACAAATAAAACAACCAACAGATTTGCCTGTCTAATCCGATGGAATACATGTTACCACCCCTATTTTAAGAATTTTAAACATATATATTTAATCTAACACTTTTTGAAATATTAGACTAATCAATAATTCTGCACACTATAGTCAAATTTTGTTATATCACTTAGATAAAAAAATTTTTGTACTAAGTGATGTAAAAGAATCAACCCCTACATCAACTCCTAAGCCCTAAACCCCAAACACTAGCACTAATCCTAACCCCGATTCATTTGTCAAAGCTTTGGCTTTGTAGCAGTCAGGCAGTTTTAATGTTCTGAGGATGGCAGAGTAACATAGCCTGCACCAATGCAATGTACCTAAGTGACTGAAGTACTTTAGAGATTCAGTCCAAGGAGCTGTGCAACAGTTGAGAATGCCAGTGAGCTGTGTCACCCTAAGCCATAACCAAAAATATGGCCTGTTTGCTGAATAAAAGAAATGCAGTGTGGAAGTTTGACTTGGTACATCATCCTGCTGGCAAGGGAATAAACAATCTATAGGATTGCTTATTATGGTATAACCCTCAAGGGTCCAGGTGCAAAGACTCAGTCTCATATTGTTACTCAAGATGTGTCTGCACATACTGACATGCTACTCATGGACAGAATTAGTCTCTCGTGGAGAAAAAAAAAAGCCCAAATCATAAAAATCACATTGTGGCAAGTGTGTGAAATCTGTGAGTGTCAAATATAGAACATAAAAATCTTTCATTCTGTACTGAGCAAATGTTTTCTCCAGTTATTAGCAGGACATGCTGTCTCATTAATAATAATTTCTTGCCATTTTCCTCAAACAAATGAGAATAACTGTTGAAACACTACTGCGAGTGACTTCATGAAGAGTTATCTCACAAGGCATGGAGTACAGACTGAATGGGCTTTGATGACCTCTCCTTCTGATGGATCAGAGAAGGGAGTTATGCTTATTCCAACTAAAGGTTTCATTATCCATAAAGGAAGTCACAATAAACATCAAAAATTCACAGGCTGCTTGTGGGTCACATGCATCACCTAGCCATCTTTCACCCTGGCCAGGAGTTGAGCAGTTTTATTGGTGGGGTTACAGAGAATGAAAGGGGAGGACTGAATCTTGGTTGGAGGAGGAAAGGAGGGGTATGACTCAACAGAGCTCACATTCACTCCTCTCCAGTATCTCTCACTTCAAAGCTTTTCATAGGACCACCCTCCAACATTTTCCACTAGTGCAAGGGATGGCAGAGAGTTCCTTAAAAATCATTGCCATGACCCATCACAACACTATTTGTAGATCTGCCTCTGGAATAATGACAAGAAAAACAGGAGCAGTCTTCAACAAGTTCTTGGAAATGTGTATTAAGAAAAAAAAATACAGAGATTTCAAACTGCTTTTGCACTAAAATATGACTGATACTAAATACCACTGACCTAATCCCATTCTCAAACAACTGAAAAAAATACCCTTGTACAAACCAAGTTTGTATTAGACAGACATGCACAGGGCAGGAAGTAATACCACATGAGTCCCTGTGTACACCAACTCCTTCAAGATGTTTCAAAGCCTTTGAAGCTGGAGTGATTGTGAACATTCTATTCAGTTGTTGCTGAAATTGTAGTCACACCATCACATATCACAGCTCATGCCTCTTTATGAACAGGTTTTTGCACTAAAATAGCCCTCCTGAAACTGAACAAATGCTTTTGAATTTTTTCTAATGGTTAGAAACGTGTTCCTTTGAAATAGCATTAGATTCTAACAAATGTTAATTAAAAGAAATTGGAAAATTTAATTATAACATAATATTAGAATGTTGCAAAGCTCCTGGAGTCTAGAATATAGCAAAGGGATGGAAACATGATTTCATATAAGAATAAATTGACATGAATCTAAAATGAAGGCACATACTCATGGAACTAAACATACAAAGCAAAAGTTTATTGGTTCTTGGTCACTACTAAGGTTTATAAAAGTCATGTGAACAACCTCATCATATTTCAGACAAGGTAGTACAGATTATTTACAGATGAGTATTAAGAAAATGGACAATAAGGTCAAAGAATTTGAGTGACTACATCTCACAGTCTTACCTCTGTAGCAGTACTCTGATTAGCTCCATTTTCCAGCAAATACTTTACAACATCAATGTGGTTCTCTTGGGCAGCCATATATAAAGGAGTAAAGCCATTCTGAGGACAAAAAATAAAAAAAAAAAGATGACATTATCAACTGTGTAAAATTTAAACCAGGCAAGAATATAACAGGAAAAGAGAATGCTATAAAGTAAACCTTTGAAATGCTGAAGCTGTATGACACACTCTCATACAGGACAGATGACTCACATATTTACCATAGTGAAACCAGGTAAAATTGGGAAGATTGAATACTCACACAAGATTCCTAAAGGAATGAGCTCAAAGACATAGGGAAGGAATATTCTTTTAATTTTCTATCTTCATTCATTGCCAGAAATTTGCATTTTTCCTCACTCAACCCCTTTTTAATTATACATATATAAAATATGCTTACTTATATTATATACAAAACAATGTATATATAATATAAATATATTATGTAATAAATATAAGTTCTTTACTGTATTTAAGGATTTTATTATCCATATAATTTGATCATCTATAGAATCCTCACTGTGTATAGTATGTACCTAAAGTAGTATTCATATACTAATGTCATCTGTGTTTATTAATCATAAATTATTTAAACAGACTACCATTATCTCGAATGCACAGGTTGGTTAGCATCCTTAGGGATGTGCATTAATATTCACACTAGAAAAGTCTCAGAGAAATGATAACTTCAACTGAAAATGTGCAAGTACAAATTTGGATGTCTTAACTCAAGTAACATGATTTATGCTAGGTATCTTTGTTATTTTTAAGTCATGCCGAAATTGTATCATTTACTTTCATATTTATTCACTTATTCATTTTTTAAAAATGCTTCCACTGACAGGTAGGACATAACAGAAAAATTAGACAGATACATGAACCCTATGGATGGCAGGCCATTATAATGCTAAAACGTTATTATGAAGTCATAGACAAAAATTCTTTGGAATTTTATAACATGAGTTTAACACTAAGGTTAAGTGATCAGTCTTTGCTTTTATTAGATATATATGAATGTGATAACTTATTATGGAAAAAATTCCCACAGGTTTTTATAAAAAAGAAAACCTGTGAAACAAGTCATAAACTCTTAAACTGTAATATAATTCTTCCAAACCATGCCAGAGTCTTAAGCATAAGTGATTAGTCTCTCAAATTTACCATGCAAGATTGAGAAACATGGGTGAGAGCTCAAGGATTTTAAAACATTAATAAGAGAATAAAAGTAGTTTTTCTGAAATATGAAGTAAATCCTTCATTGTATGGAAACACACTCAAAATGGCCAAGATCCAACAAAATATAAAGGCAGCACTTATAAGTAGAACAACTAAAGTCATGTTTAAATCCAACTATAAAGAAAATCTTCATGTTTCAAATATGGAGGAATATTGTTAAGAGGAAGGAGTTAGCAGCGTTGTAGAATTCAGGAATAACTTGCTAGCTGGATAGCATATTTTAAAAACACAGCAATCAGGTGAAGGCTGTGTATTTAAAGAACACTGACGAGGTGGCGGAAGGATGGAATTAGAGATTCAAAGGAAGGGAAAGCCACAGAAGATGGTTAAAAACAATGCGTGGGTGTGGAATGGCATTCTTCCTTGACAAGTAAAAGGCAGGGATGCAGTAAGAGAAAAAGAGCTTTAAAAAGAGTAAATGAACTTGTTAACGTGCTCTCCCCTGGTAGAATCTTGCACGATAAACTCAAACAAAGGGGAATATATACAAATTGCCAGGGTAGCAGAGGGAGGAGCTATACTGTCCTTAAGGCCTCTGCCTAGAAAATGTCCCATATTTAGTTCTGAGCAGTAGAGTGATTTCCTTTGGCTTGGCTAGGCACAGGATCCCTAAATCATCAAGGGCATGCATGATCCTAAAGCGACCTGACTTTAAAATACGTACCAAGCACTCACTTATCCAGAATCCCTGTCTAGTGTCACCGAGTGTGTTTCCAGTCCTATCTCTGACTTCTTTGTCATTGGTGTGTACAGCCTTTGATAAACTGAATAACATCCCCCTCCCTTACATAAATCCACACCTTAATCTAGGACCTATAATTGCTACTTTATACAGGAAAAGGAAAGTTGTGGTTCTGATTGAGTTAAGGCTCTTCTAATGGGGAGACTATCCTGGGATAGTCAAGTTGGCTTGATGCAATCACAGAGACAAGAGAGAGAGGCAGAAGGTCAGAAAGGAGAGAAATACTGGACTCTCAGTTCTCAAGATAGAGAAGAGGCTATGGTCGGAGGAATGCAGATGTAAAAGCTAGAACAGGCAAGGAAATCAATTCTTACTAGAGTCTTCTGAGGAAACAGAAATGCCAACACCTTGCTTTTATTGTTGTAAGAGTAATATAAGACTATCGAATATATTTGTGTTGTTTCAAGCAATTGAGCTTTGTAATAATTTGTTATAGTAACAATAGAGAGCTAATGTGACCCCATGAGTTCAGCTAGGGAAGGTTTGGGTAGATGACTAGCTCTTCAACATGTTCAGGCTGGGTTGCCCATACGTTTGCAAGTGGTGCTCCTATGAATGCAAACAAGAGAGGGACAATAAGAAGGTCTAGCTCTGGTCAGGGGCCCAGGATCAGCTCTACCTCACCTCAATACTTTGTGAAACTCCAGAACTTCTTTGAAACTTAAATTTGAGCCTGTCATACTAGATATACTCCTTAGTTTGTTGACTTGAAAAATGAACTCAAAAAAGTTCATGGGCAACGGACATTATGGAAAAAACTATGTATAAATTTCCACATTTTTGGTACCAAAGTAAATATTTTAATTCCATATTTTTATGAATTTTTGAAGCACCATCTTATAGGTCTCAATTTTTAAAAGGATATTGGATGTGGGCCTCGTTTGTACTCTTGCTACAGCTGGGATGGAGGGGTAGAACGGGCAAATAGACAGGCTGACAATACACAGGATTCAAAGAGGAAGGCGCCATTGTAAACAAACACCCAGCCTCTGGTGGGAAAGTATATCAAGAATACCATCTGTATGGCTTGTATGTTAACAACATCCAGAGCCTTTAGCAGAGTAGGGGAGGAACTCTGATCAACAACAGAATTAAAAATGACTAATTTTCAGCTGTATGTTATCTGCTATGAAATGCTTTGAATATCTCTCCTCAATTATAGTTATTATGTCTCCTAGTTTGAGACATTCTGAGTTTATGTGTCATATCTTGGAGAAATTATTTCTTTAAAAAAAGATTTATTTCTTTTTATTGGAAAGGCAGATGTACAGAGAGGAGAGACAGAGAGGAAGATCTTCTGTCCGATGGTTCACTCCCCAAGCGGGGGCAATGGCTTTAGCTAAGCCAATCCGAAGCCAGGAGCCTCCTCCGGGTCTCCCACTGGGGTGCAGGGTCCCAAAACTTTGAACTGTCCTTGACTGCTTTCCCTGCTTTTCTGCAGGGAGCTAGACGGGAAGCAGGGCTGCTGGGATTAGAACCGGCGCCCATATGCGATACTGACGCATACAAGACCAGGACTTTAGCCACTAAGCTATCATGCAGGCCTGAGAAATTATTTCATAGTGTCTCATCTTGCATGCCAATTGACCTAATCTTATGTCTAATACTTTGACTAGTGCTGCAACATTGGTGTGGTTGTTCCCATTTAAACTGAAACAGAGGAGGCTCAAACACTTGGGGAACACAAAGTCTCACAGCTAGTAAGTGAAACTGGGAGTGGCAGATAAATGTCATTCTTCCTGACAGGGAGGTGGGGCTTTATCCCCTGTCTATGAATGCCCCTCACCCTGCATGTGAGGTGGCGTGATCAGTACAAACAGCGAGGAATGTCTAGCATCGTCCTACTACACTGCCCTACTTCTTTGGAGTTTCACATCTGAAATCCAAGTACACACAATTTTTAAGGCACTCATTTTCTGAAATTCTCTTTCGAAGTCCACTAAAGGGGAGGCAAAACAACTGAATAGTTTTGGGTATGGAGTACCACAGGCATATTTGCATTTCAGAAAATGCACTCTGTGGGTAACAGATGCCTAGGCCTGTAGGAGGCAAGAATGGAAGCCCAGAATTAGCCTGGAGGAAACATGAGCCAAGAAATCTTGGTCAGAAGGCCTCACACACAAAAAATGTGTGAGGTAAGGCAATAAACATTTACTACAGGTTCTAAAGTTGTGGGAATTACACTTTCTGAATTTGTTGCTGTTTAACAAAAAACAGACTACATGAGATCATGACCCACACCTCTGAGAACAGCACCACGACACTTTAACACCCTCATGAAGTTTATACTAAAGCAGTGGTCTCCACACATTGATTGTCTAATAACAGAAATATTTGCTTTTGTGTGCATGCACTCATGTTTTTTCTAAAATAATCTGATTTTTTTGAATACATTTTTCTAAAATAGTTGGTATGAAAATGTATGTCTTCCTGTTGGGATAAAGAGTCAATGATATCCACAGTGCAGACTGACATGTAGTGAGAACAGTGCTGCAGGAGCTCCAGGAGTTCCAGTGTGAGCAGCAGATGACTCTGCAAGCTGAGTATTAGATATTTGTTAAACATTAGATATGTCCAAAGAATTATTGATAACTTTAGCCTTGCAAAAGGTATTTGGTAGTAGATTTTGACATTTAACCAAGCAGTTAAGATGTCCAAGTCCCATATCTAATGATTGAGTTTGATTCCTGACTCCAGCTCATGGCTTTCATTTCCAGCTCCTGGCTTTGGCTGTTGCAGGCATTTGTGAATGGTGCCAGGAGGAAAAGGGTTTCTTCCCCTTTCTTCTGTCCAAGTAAGTTTAGCAACTCTTCTCTACTAGGAATTTTGTCCCGCTTTAGTGATCCAGAAACAAAGAATTCACAGTCCAGAGCCTCAGATGGACAGTGAACCAACTACCAAATGATAGGCCAGTAATTCATATATAATTAAAGACAGATAGATAGATAGATAGATAGATAGATAGATAGATAGATAGATAGACAGACAGATAGATATTGAGCATAACGAGGACACAGATGAAGGTCACAGAAGGCAATGGGTAAATAAATTATATGTAAAAGAAATCATGGAAATGATTCAG